TCAAGAGCTTTGTAAGGTTTTGAACAACCAATAAAAAAAAAAGTACTTCAGTAGGCTAGTGATATAGCTAATTTGGTAGAGTGCTTGCCTTGCATATACAAGGCCCTGAGTTCAATTCCCAGCACCACAAGGGGGGAAAAAGTTTATAACATTCACAGGGTTCAAATATTTAGAAATTTTTAAAGGGTATAGAGTGAAAAGTCTTTCTCCTATCCAGTCTGTTCCTAACCCCCAATTCTATAGTTATACTGTTTTTCCCCTTCTTTTTTAGCCTTTCATTGTTATATAAGCTTTAAAAAGCAGATTGTTTTGATAGAATATGGAAACACACAGAGTAGGGAATATTAAATAAGCAGAAGAAGGGACAGGTCATTTTCTATAACTTGAGTTATTTCACTTCTCAATCATTAGTTCAGCAACTTAAAATAAACCAAGGTATTCAATTGTTGTCACTCTTTTGTAACAACAATCTGAAAAAGAATAAAAGATTAAAAATGAGGTACTTTGTCACTTAAAAATGAGTTTTAGAGTGGGTTACATGTAAGCCTTATAGTAGGCTTACTTTTTGTCTAATGCAGTAAAGAGCTATTTGGAAATTTACAGTGATTGCAGTAGGATATACTTGTTTCAGAGTATCAGAAAATAACAAATAAGTCTCTCTCTCCTTTTTATCTTGTTATTATCATATTAGTATCTGTTACTTGCATTGCTTGGTTCAGTGAAGATAGACCATTTGCAGTGGGATATTTTGATGGAAAATTGCTACTGGGAACAAAGGAACCACTTGAGAAAGGAGGCATTGTTCTAATTGATGCACATAAGGTAAACGGGTCTTCACCAGAAAGTTTATTTTTCTTGCTTTTTATTCGGTACCAATTTCTTTAAAATGTTTATATCATGTACTTAAGATTTAATGTTCTATTGTTACACAAACTCTTCAGTCCATGTATGTATATGGAAAAGTCTATGTTAAAAAAGAAAAAAATCAAGCCATGAAAAAAGTAAAACCAAAACAGTGATATGGGAATATGCTGGGAATACTCCCTTTTCAGTGTCTCTTATTGATGCCAGAAATTCCACTCATGAAGATGATTCCTTTATTGTAAACAGTTTGATAATTCAGGTGTTTACAGGACACCTAGGCAGGTGACATAAATGCCTGAAATCTGGAGTTGGGAGTTATGGAAGGAGGGTTAAAAAACATCAGAACATGTGATCACAACCATATAAACACAAAACATGTCACACATTTTCATAAATGTTTGTCCATTTGGTGATGGGTGCTGCTTCTTTTTTGAAGTTTCTTCTTTTTCACTGTAATGAATATCAGTCAGTAAAAATGACTCTTGAAATGCTCATGCAAATGAAAAATAATGTATCTCTCGGGAGTCAGAATTTAATAATTCCTTCTGATTAACATTTATTGATGTTTGACTGTCACAAATATATATATAACAAAGATTATATTATAGGATAAGTTTATTTAGTAATTGGAAATGACATGGCAGTGTGTGACAGGCTTAAAATGTGATTTCAAAGTAATTGAGTTATAGAAATATATCATAAATTATTGAATTTAAACAATTTATTTGTGAAAGAAAAATCATTTTTTTCCCTTTTCTGATTTCTTCCCTCTCCCTATCGTTTCAAGGATACTCTTGTCAGTATGAAATGGGACCCAACAGGCCATATTCTTATGACATGTGCCAAAGAAGAAAATGTGAAACTCTGGGGACTTATTTCAGGATGCTGGCGCTGTCTGCATTCACTCTGTCATCCATCTATTGTGAATGGCATTGCTTGGTGCAACCTTCCAGGGAGAGGATCCAAGTTGCAGTTACTAATGGCTACGTATGTTATAAATTGTGCGCGTGTGCATGTGTGTCTTAATTTTTTTTTTAATGTCGACTATTATTTGCACTAAATGTGGCTTCTCAGTAGTCTTAAAACAGTTTTTTGCCAGTTACTGTTCATATAATTTGTAATCCTGTTAAACATCTCAAAGAAATAAAGAGTGTTTTTCCAATGTGAAACTTAGTATGTAATCTTCTATGTGATCAATTTTTTTTTTTAAAGTGGCTGTCAGAGTGGCTTGGTATGTGTTTGGTGTATTCCACAAGATATGACACAGACCAGTATGACTAGTTCAGAAGGATGGTGGGACCAGGAATCAAATTGCCAGGTAATGTTCTGGTGTTTTTGAAGACTTTCTCTGAAATCATAGATAGTATAGCTAATCAAAGTAATTCTCCCTCAGTAAGATACTTAGCACAATATCCCAAAGAGCAGAATCCTTTAAAGAATTATCAATAATTGTTATACTCTGTGTGCTCTCTGAATTAGTTTAATTTATTTGAATCAGATACCATAATTGTTAAGATGAAATATTTAATGCATATTGAATAGTGACTGTTATGATGGTGATGAATAGAATCAATGCTACTGTAATCAGCTGAATCTTAGGTACAGTGAAGTAGGAATACTATGGGTACATACTTTCCAGAGTATCATTCATAAAAATGAAAGTTACATAAAGCTGAAATTTTAAAAATTAAACCATTGGCTAAAAAAAAAATAGAAATCAGCATGTTCTTGTCTCTGGAGGATAACTGGTACTTGAAAATGTAGTCATTTCTGCCAATTTGAAGAGTAGAAAACTAGTTTAGAAATGGATCTGAAAAAGTGAAACTCAGCTTTAGCAAAGGAGAACGAGACTGATGTTTTATTATTTACTCAGTCAGGCTAACTAATCATTATGAGAGAAGGTGTTCCCCTATCCCCAGTCCCTAGTTTTACACTGAAATGTAAAATTTTCAAGAATGAATTATAACTTTTAAACTCATAAATTGCTTTTATTTTAATATATGTTAAAAACAATGATTGCAGGATGGATATAGGAAATTGGCAGGAGCCAAATGTATTTATCAACTGCGGGGACACATCACTCCTGTTCGAACTGTTGCCTTTAGTTCTGATGGGTTGGCCCTGGTGTCTGGTGGACTTGGTGGACTCATGAACATTTGGTCTTTAAGGGTAAGGGCATAAACTTATTTTTATTTTAAGAAATATTTTTACATTGACTTAAATATGTGTGGTAAAAATTATTTGATGTAATAATATCTTGAATACCTAATAAACTCCTTTAAGAATACTCATCCCTTAGAAAAAATAATAACAATCCTCTGCCCTTTAATTTTTCTTAGTGTTGATAAATATTCTTAAGGTCCTCAAGGTCCTATGAAATTGGGTTGACAGTAAGTAATTAGATGTTGTTGAATTTAGCTGAAGTATAGATATCAGAAAATGTTTTTATAAATATAAAGTATAAATTTTAAATGTCAGTGATGCCTAAGGTTAAATAATGTGTACTGACAAATTTATCTCATTTTAGGATGGCTCTGTCTTACAGACAGTTGTGATAGGCTCTGGAGCTATTCAAACCACAGTGTGGATTCCAGAAGTTGGGGTGGCTGCTTGCTCAAATAGATCAAAGGTAATGTTGCAGTTATATCAACTTATAGGATATAAGCCTATAAGCAGTTTTAGAAATCATGGCTAAGCACCTTACTTCATGGATGACAAACATATCCAGAGAGATTGTTATATGCTGGAGTTAATGCAGCTATTTCATGGTGGAATAATTAGAAACCCAGGCCTTCTAATTTATTGTCTAGTACTCTTTCTACTATTATCTGGGCTTTGGTAAAAGGGCTTAATTGAGTAATTTCATTTCCATTGAAAGATATAAAATGGATTTTTTCTTTCTGTTGTGATTTTTGGCATAACACTAAGCTATCTCAAAAGAATTTTCTCTGGGGGGAAAAACATCGTGAGACATTTAATTCAAGTATGCAAAATATATCGTGGCTTTTAAACTTAAGGCTCTAACAAAAACACTAGTCACCTTACTGTGAAGTAATTTAATGATGTCATATCTCCTACAGTAATTGTTTCTCATACTCTTAAAGATTAATGCCAATGTGCTGTTTGGTTTACATTTTAGGTGGTTAAATAATATTGAAAGAATCCATAAACCTGCATGAATAGTCAGTCCTATTAGAAGTAAAATATAAAAATTAACTAGTTCTAAGAATATTTTGTAATACCCTAGGCAGTAGTAGACTGTGTAAATAAACCATAGAGCCAGAGTAGAACAGTTCTGCTGCTTTGCAAATGTGTTCCTTAGTAGACAGAATAGTTTCCTCTAGCATCCCTGTGATTATATTATATTTTAAAAATATACTATGTACCTTTACAAGTTCTATGAAACAGCAAATAATTGGCATGGTTTCTTAAAGAGAATTAGCTATGCCAAGGTAGTTCACAAATTTTATGATTCTTATCCACTCAATTTTACAGACTGGTGTAGTGGTATACTCCTGTAATCCCAGTGACTCAGAGACTGAGGCAGGAAGATCCCAAGTTCAAGGTTAGCCTCAGCAACCTATTGAGACCCTGTCTCAAAATAAACAATAAGAAGGGCTGGGGATGTATCTCAGTGGTAGAGTGTCTCTGGGTTCCAACCACAGTACCAAAACAAATAAAAAGACCATTTTTACTTAGACAAAATTTAAGATGTTTTGAAATACAGCCTTTTTGGAAATCAATGTCTAATAAAGCAAAAGTGTTTAATGTAGTTATGGGAAAGAATTTCTGAGATTGAATGTTGATAGTATTATCTTTTACTTAAAACAAATTTATTATCTGCCATGATTTATTTTCAACCAGGATGTTTTAGTTGTGAATTGTACAGCAGAATGGGCTGCTGCCAATCATGTTTTAGCAACTTGTAGAACGGCACTGAAACAACAGGGTGTTCTGGGATTAAACATGGCTCCTTGCATGAGAGCATTTCTGGAGCGGTTACCCATGATGCTTCAGGAGCAGTATGCCTATGAAAAGGTAATTCATTGTGTTTACTCCTAGAGATCTTCAGGTGCTTTAGAATTTGAATTACAGCTTTGAAATTATTCCTTAAAGACATTAAATCTGAGGAAAGTAAGTGTGGATATTTGGACAGAATCAAAGTCAATTGTGAATTGACTTAGAATTCCTAAGCCTATTCTTTATTTTTACTGAAATAAAATAAAAACAACTCCCAAATTTGTATCATTGATATCATTCTTTGCCAGATGATTTTATATATATATAGAGAGAGAGAGAGTCATAGGAGGACACAATGTCTTTATTTTACCTTAAAAAAATCTATTTATTTATTTATTTTTTAGTCATAGGTGTACACAATGTCTTTATTTTATCTTATGTGGTGCTGAGGATCAAACCCAGTGCCTCACACATGCTAGGCGTGCTCTCTACCTCTGAGCCACAACCCCAACCCATCAGATGATTTATTCACTACAAAGCTTCTTAAAGTATCTATGCCTATGAGTTTGATCTTCCCTTTTCTGGCCCGTATATCTGGTTTTGTATGGCTCTGCAACAAAGTTGGGGGGTAGGAATGGATATGGATGTACATCCTTGCCACGTATCAAGCAAATCTTTGTGGGAAGTTTAGTAGAACAGTTAAGCTGAGCTGAGTAGCATCATTAAATATTAGAATGAAAAACTGTGGAATTTGGACCTATTGTCCAGGCAGATCCTCAAGTAGCCTGCATTTTAGCCCTCAGTAGTCATAGTGTGCTGCCCCTAAACAGGACTCTGTGTTTTTTGCCAAACTACATTAATATAATCAGTTGTTACCATACCTAGTTAATTTCACTGAAGTGTTTGCCCAATTTTTCTTTTCTAAACCCTCAGTTCCATTACAGAGTTACTGTGCCATGACTAGGGAGTACCATAGAAGAGGAAGGGATTTTCTTTTGGTGACTATCAGGGTTCTCTTGGTAATGGTAGAAAATAGTAGGTCTCCATGATTTAGATGTTATCCCCTCACCACACCTTCTTTTTCAATCAGGAAAAAAAAATAATGAAAATATATTAAATGAATTGTGATCTCCTCAATTGACTCCTGGAACAGAAAAGGAATATTGGTGGAAAACCAATAAAGTTCTTTGGTTTAGTTAGTATTATACTACCAACGTTAGTTTCTTGGTTTTGCTAAATATACCATGGTTATGTTGAGATGTTAACATTAGAGGAAGTTGAGTGAAGAGTTTATAGGAATTCTGTTACTATATCTGTATTTCTGTAAATTTAAAATCTTTTGAAAGTAAAAATCTTAAAATGATGGGGCTGGGGTTGTGGCCTAGCGGTAGAGCATTCGCCTAGCTTGTGCAAGGCCCTGGGTTCACTCCTCAACACCATATAATTATAAATAAAATAAAGGTATTATGTCCAACTGTAACTAAAAAATAAAATATTTTAAAAAACGATTACAGCGTTTAGAACATAGTAAGTTAATGTATACTATTTGGCACAAGCTCTTCAACATGGCATCCTTGCATTTTCTCTTAGCCTCATGTGGTTTGTGGTGACCAGCTTGTTCACAGCCCCTATATGCAATGTCTGGCTTCCCTTGCTGTGGGACTTCATCTGGATCAGCTGTTGTGTAGCCCTCCAGTGCCACCACACCACCAGAACTGCCTCCCTGACCCTTCATCCTGGAATCCAAACGAGTGGGCCTGGTTAGAATGCTTCTCAACCACCATTAAAGCTGCTGAAGCCCTGACCAATGGAACACAATTTCCAGAATCTTTTACTGTTCCAGATCTAGAGCCTGTTCCAGAGGATGAACTTGTATTCCTAATGGTAAATGTTACACTTGGAGCTGAGATTGTATCAGGGGTGTTTGGCATACAGAAGACCCTTAATAAGTTTTTGCTAGCTTGGATAGCTAGAAGCATGTTGTTAGATAAACTGAAAATATGTTTTGTTCAGATGGTCATTTTCAATCTGATATCAGGTCTCTGTGGTGACAGATGTTGATTATATGAGAGTTCTTGTACACCTACTGGCTCTCAGTGAAATAGTTCCATATTTTTCCATTTTTTTCCTATATGTGTTTATTGTAGCATTTTTTTCATGATCAACTTGTAAAATTTGTACCACATATGGATTCTAATTTATTTAGTACTTCAGTCATGCCAAATAAGAATATGAAAGAGCATTCAAATTATCATTTCTTTTTGACTATATTTGAAAGTGTCTAGCTGTGGAAACTATGATGTAGGTAAAATACTTGTGTAGACAACCCCTTTATGAAGAATTATGTATACAAACATTTGAACATATGATATAAAACAGACATATGAATTGAGGAAAATTATCTAAATATAGATTATTTTAGTCAACAAGTGTCCTTTTGAACTCATTTGGCCCAAATCTGTCGTTTTGTAGATGCAAAAACTGAAATATAAAATGATGAAGAAACCTACCCACAGCTGCACATTCACAAAAGCAGTAAACCATATACGTGCCCTTGCACCTGTGGATGCTCAGTAAACATATGGGTAGCTTTGAAACACCAAGGCTTTAATGAAAGTGTTTATAATAAAGGCATTAAATAATAATAATAATAAAATCAAGTTTGAAATGATTATAAAGTTCTTCTTGCAGGTTATGGTTACATGTGCTTGTAGTCTTAGATATTCAGGAGGCTGGGGCAGGAGAATCTCTAGAGCCAGGAGTTTGAGGCTATCCTGTGTACATAGCAAAACCCCACTAAAAAATAAATAAACAAATAAATAAATAAAAAGGCAAAAAAACCCCAAAACTCGCTTTTATTTTGTCATACTATTTCCATAATCTTTTTTGGAAAAAATTTGTTAGAAGACTTTATTAATAGGTAAGAACAAAAATTGTGACTAATAAGTAGGATTTTGATACTGATGTCTTCCCTGTCTTACAGGATAACAGTAAGTGGATCAATGGCATGGATGAGCAAATTATGTCATGGGCAACTTCTAGACCTGAGGTCAGTAAAGATGAAGATGACTGTATGGTGGTTCTCAGTCAATTTTTTTATTATAAATGTGTTTGTTTTGTGTCCTGGTGTCTCCCTTGGAGGCTGGCACATGCTTCATACCCAGTACATGCTTGTTTGAACAAATGGATGAATCTAAGTTTTAGGTGATTGTGGTTTTCTAGGACTGGCACCTGGGAGGTAAATGTGATGTCTACCTGTGGGGTGCTGGTAGGCATGGACAGCTGGCAGAAGCAGGAAGAAATGTAATGGTACCTGCCGCAGCTCCCTCATTCTCACAGGCACAACAGGTAACTAATAGGGTAAAAAATGTAGAGAAAACTTGGGAATTGATAATTCCAATTCCTTTGCTGTCAGTAACTTATTGGGGGATAAAGCTTGTCCATTTCATAGTCTATTGTGAGGAATCATTAAATAAAGTTATGATGGGTAGCCTCCCAATAAAAGCTTGCTAAGATTTTTGCAGAGTTAAGACATTTTGTTAAAAATTTCTAAATTCCTCTTGCTTCCAAGTGTAATGAATTAACAGCATGATACAGTAGGCCTACATAGTGCATATTTGTGGAAGTTTAAATACTCCTTCTTAGAGATTCTCTGCTTGAGTTCACAAACTCCCTAGGATATTTAGGCATACTTCATTGGTATCATTCCCCACTTCTAATAATCATGGTAACATATTTCCAAACCTTTCTGAGGTTATTGCTTTTTTCTTTTGTTCTTTCCTACCTTAGCTATTCCAGAGTTCACTGCGCTTCCTTATATATGTCCCCTCTAGTTTCTTCTTTTTTCTAGTCCAATCTTCAATGTTTCCTCATCACCCTTCCCACTTCCTTCTTGTATCTGTGTTGTATTAATGATATTGTTTAACTCTGCACAATTGGCTGAAATCCCTGTACATAAAATGGTTCGAAACTATCTTAGATAGGCCTCATATGTCTCTTGGTTAAATAAGCAGTTTTATAGTAATCAAGAGATATAAGAAAACCATAGTTAATAACCTATCCCCTGTAGTTAAAATGATAGAAGGACTAATGTGAAGGTATCCTTGGGATACATGGAATCATTCAAATGTTGCACATTAAAGTGAAATAATAAAAGGGTAATATTTTTAATTGTTTGCTTTTATACTAGGTTGTATGTGGTCAGAATTGTACATTTGTTATCCAGGCCAATGGTACAGTGTTGGCTTGTGGAGAAGGAAGTTATGGCAGATTAGGACAAGGAAATTCTGATGACCTTCATGTGCTAACAGTTATTTCAGCCTTACAAGGTAAAATTGTCCTTAATTTTGAAATGTTTAGAAGTTATGACCTAATCATAAAAATATTTGCTTATCTTGGAACTCTTCTCACACCTTTGTTAGATAAAATCATAAGTTTTTCGCTTATATTTGAATTTTCGTTTAGGCATATATACAGTCTTAATTTACATATTTTAAGCTATATTATTTTGCAGGTTATTTATAATAGCAATGCTAGCATTCAGTGATATATTAAATAACTGTTTTTGAAACCTACTAATGATTGTAACCAAATTCTTTAAAATTATAAAAGTATAATTTGACAACTGTTATAGCCGTAGCAATCAGGCTTGTGTTTCATTAAAATTAAAAGTCAATTTATATGGAAATGTGCAAATGGGCATCTCTAGCAGAGTTCTGTGAGACTCAGTGAAAGAAAATCTGTGGGAAAACCACTGAGGGAACTTTTGGCTTGTTCTCTAAGTGAACTCTTACTTATTCTGAAGCCTAAAAAGAAAGCATGGAGGGCTTTTTAAGTACAAACAAACAAGTAACAGTTCAGAACAGAAAGTTCTAAGTGTTTTCCTGGAGATCTGGGTGGAAAGAGTGTAACAGTGGAGATGGAAACATTGGTTGGTGGTCTATCTATATTCCTTCTGGTCCCTGGCTTCGGGACCTTGCTCAAACTTACTATATCTCTTTGTGACTCAGTATCTGCAATTGTTAAAGTGGTGATATTAGAATCTGCTTCCTAGGTTTTGTGTAAGAATAGGAAATGAGGTCCTGGAGTTGTGTCTCAGTGGTAGAGCCCTTGCCTAGCATGTGTGAGGCCCTAAGTTCGATTCTCAGCACTGCATATAAATAAAAATAAAGGGAAAAAATCAGGAAATGAGAAACTTCATGTAAAGCATTTATAGAAGTGGCTAGAATATAGTCATTAGTGACTATAACTGCTGTAGTCATCATCTTCCTGGTCATCATCATTGTTTCATGTGACTGCTTCCAGTTTTGCCAGATTTTGGCTACAGCTTTGATTTAAAACAGGTTTATTTTTATTTCTGTAATACTATTTTGGTGTTTTTCAATCCTGGGGGTGTTCTGTAGTGGCTACAAATAAAACAAAGAAGTTTTAATATTCAGTGACACCTGTTCGATTTCTGCTCTATTCCAGGCTTTGTGGTGACCCAGCTGGTGACTTCCTGTGGTTCTGATGGGCACTCCATGGCCCTGACAGAAAGTGGTGAAGTCTTTAGCTGGGGAGATGGTGACTATGGTAAACTTGGCCATGGCAACAGTGACAGGCAGCGTCGGCCAAGGCAGATTGAGGCCTTACAAGGAGAAGAAGTGGTACAGGTCAGAACATGGATAAATTTGCCTTTGAATATAAATGTACTAGTTGTTGAATAGCATTCTTAAATTTAGGTAACAGTAAATAATAGTAAAAATATGCAAGTATTATAAAAGATCCACTTTTTGATTGTAGAGATTCATTCTTGAGCTTGTTAGAAGTTTGAATGGGCTTTGGTGTAAGAATGGACTTCCTTTTTTCCTGAGCCAGCTGGTTGGTGCAGGATTGGGTGCTACAGATCTTTGAAAGAAACTCTAAGAGCTTACTTAAGTTCTGTCATTTTTGTTACACAAGCTGATTTTATATATATTTACTTATCTGTTAGTGATCTAAAATAATATTGTAAAATTACATAGCACCCTAGGAATTTTCAAAGAATTTCTCCATTCATTATCTCATTTAGTGTAGATCAGTTAATCACAGCTAAAGAGTAGCAACAGTTACTCTAATGCTTGCAATTTAACTTGGTTTTCCTGAGGCTGGTGAGGGAGATCAGACTTGGAGGAGCAGGAGAGTCACCTGGGCAGATAGAATAGATTGATCTTAAAGATCCTAACTTGTCACTACATTAATAACCAAAAGTGTCTGATTTATTTTTTTTCTCAGTATCCCCTCTCCTCAAAAACATTTTGTCCTCCTTGGTTCTGTCCTAGATGTCTTGTGGCTTTAAGCACTCAGCAGTGGTAACTTCAGATGGCAAACTGTTTACCTTTGGTAATGGTGACTATGGTCGTCTGGGTCTTGGCAACACCTCTAACAAAAAACTTCCTGAGAGAGTGACTGCACTGGAAGGATATCAAATTGGACAAGTATGGAATAAGTCAATACAGTGTTTTAACTGAGGGGAATTTATCCCTTCTGTGTGTACTTGAGACATTCTCCTTTCAGGAGGGTTCAGGATCACTAGTTGTACTTCTGTACATTTTGGTTGGTCTAGTTGATGCTTTTTCATAACTTTTCCAATGAATTAATATGAATTCATATTTTAGGACAAACAAATGTCCTTATTTCAGGATAGGAATATTTTAAAACCTCCAGAGGGTGCTAATAAAACTTGCTATAAAACTTTTAAACAATACAGATGTTTGTGGCTCCTTTCTGGCACTCTTGAATTTGATGGCTGAATTGCAGCATCACTGGTAGCTACTGCTCTCAAGCAATAGTTGATCTTGCTGTGCACATTCAGAGTATTACCAGCAATAGAATAATATAGGTTTGTCTTTTTTTCCCTATATCATTCCTTAGACACTTTCTGGTGTGAATGAATATTTCGATTTGTATGTATTTGTTCCTATCTTTTGTACTTTTTTAATATTTCACAGATATTTGAAGGATTTCACTTTGAAGAAGAAAGGTATTTGTTTGTGGACATTAGAAATTATTTCAATTAACCCATTTTAGTTAACATTTATAGTAGGTGCTGAAGCCAATAAAAATCTTTGGAAATATAACCAAATTCTCCAATGATGTTGAAAAAATGATCCCAGAGACAGAGTTATGGTGTTTTAGTCTTAAAATTTGCTTTTTTAATACCTCTTATTTCTCCAGGTAGCCTGTGGGCTGAACCACACTTTGGCAGTGTCAGCAGATGGCTCCATGGTGTGGGCTTTTGGAGATGGAGACTATGGAAAGCTAGGCTTAGGAAATTCCACTGCAAAATCTTCACCTCAGGTCAGTTAGTGACTTTAATCTAGGCTTTTGCATAATGAAAACTAGTTTTCATATATGTCAGTACCTCTTTTTAGTTGGAAATAATTTACCTTTAACATTTTTTGGTATTTCTTAATGAAGTTTAGAAGCTTCTGTTGATTATTCTTGAATGTCTACCATTCTAGATCTTGATTTTAAATAAGTCATTAATAGCTAATGGATGTGAAAATTCTGCAATAATAAACCTTTGTCTCTATAGACAGCCTAAACACTACAGGACTGTGTCCCATTTAGAGGAGAAATATTTAGAAACATCTCCAGGGTCTCTTTTGGAGGGAACCATGGACAGTCTTTATAATCCTCTGCTTACAGCTGCTATTTAGCTTATCATTACTCCTGAATTAAACAGGTGTGCATTTCCTTTTAAAACACAGTATAAAGGAAATTTGAGTATATAAAGAAATACATTAGAAGCTGTTATTCACATCTTAGAATGTTCCACTCTGCAGAAGACTTCCCTTGCAGTTCTTTTATGTAGATTTTCTTGACACATTTGTGAAGTATGCATACTCAGTTTACTTCAGCTTCACACTCAACATAATCTACAGTCTGTGACATCATGATAGCTAGACTAGTGAATATTCAACTAGGGATGTAGAGAAAAAGGATGCCTTTGCTAGAGGACATAGAAAGTAGCTGTTGTTACCTCTGACAGCTTAAAAAGTTTAACAGGGAGCAGCCCATGGCCTATGTGGTCTTGCCTGGTTTTTAAAAGCTCATGGTGTTCCCTTTGTTCTCTGGTGCCCAGAGGAATGTTTCCATTTCACATGTGCCCTTGCATACTCTTTCCCCAAAATTTATTTAGTTCACAGAGCAGTAGGATAAAAAATATTTTAGGAGTGTGGATTTGGGTGAAACAAGGAGGTGATACTTAGGAATTTTATTAGAAGATAGTCTTTGACTTTGTACAAATTCAAGAGCCGTCCCCCTGCCTGTGCCTCCTCCCTCTGCTTTTTTGGGGCACCAGGATTTAACTCAGGGTCTCACTGAGTTGCTTAGCGCCTCACCTTTACTGAGGCTGGCTTTAAACTTGCATTTCTCCTGTCCCAGCCTCCTAAGCTGCTGAGATTACAGGGGTGCGCCACTGCAACCAGGTCCCCTTCTTAAAATATGTGCCTTACACTTATTTTGCAGAAAGTTGATGTCCTCTGTGGAATTGGAATTAAAAAGGTTGCTTGTGGAACTCAGTTTTCCGTTGCTTTGACCAAGGATGGTCATGTGTATACCTTTGGTCAAGGTAAGGTGTTTTTTAGCTTATATTGCTTGTTTTGTGTATACACATATTATAGAGACATTTGCCTTCTCCTTGTATAGAAGGTGATCTGAATGTTGAATACACACTGTGACCCTCATTCACTTGCTACTTTCTGTTCCTGTTTAACTTTTTTTTAAGGACAGTCTATCCAAAGAGCTATTCTGACCACTGTCTTTCACTATATCCCTTTTCTACCGTAAAGTGATGAGCATAAGCCAAAATGGTACTTTCGCTATTGGAATAAATATACACTTAAAAAATATCAGTTTCTTTCTTCCCTCTTCACAAGAAGATAAGGTAGGATCAAGTTCTAATATCTAATCTTGCATTAAAGCTTCTCATGCCAGAGCCTTCACTCTTGTTAGAAGTGTCCCTTCCCAGATCTCTCCTTTCCTCTTTTCTAACACCTTTTGCCATGCTGACACAAATAGTGCCTAGACCACCAGTGCTCTTTCCTTGCTCCTCATCCCTTCCAGGGATTGGGGCTGCAGATCTTAGGTAGTGAAGAATTCGTAGACACTCAGGCTTCACAACTGAAGAATTCGTAGACACTCAGATTCATAACTCAAGCATTCCAAGTGGGATTCCTTGGCAACTGGTTCACTTTCTTAAGTGAGATCTGTTGCTAACTTGTTGTAACTGAGGGGTTTGGGAGGCAGCTGTGAGAAAGAGGAATAAGTACACCATGACTGAAAGTTTTTGGTGTTGAGAGAACACTGATTTCACTGACTTGAGAAATAAATTGGTTTGTGGGGAAAGGGAGGTAAGGAGGTAAGTTTTAGTCATGTTGAATGGGGGCCTTCTGTCCTAGATACATGTATGCAAATATCTAGCAGGTAATTAAATCTAGAAGTCCAGAAAGATTAGTTATAGAGGTGTAGGTTGAGAACATAATTAAATAATGGTAGTTGTTAAAGCCTTATTAGTAGGATCTAAGAAATCCAAGGAGACAGTGTAGACTGGGGGAAAAATAGTAAAATTGTGAGGCATGTGAGCACAGAATGAGGACTTGGGAAAGTTGGATTTGAAAGGAGTAGTAAGAGAGGTAGCTGGTGAGCCAGGGTAGTATGGACTCTCTGAGGGGCAGAAGAAGCTCAGGCTATTATCAGAAGGTTATATGGAGTTCTTATAGATTGGACCCTGAGAAGCGCCCTCTGTGTTAGGCAATGAGGATCCAACTCATGGCTTTGAGAGTACGGTTTCAGAGCACCATGGAGAGTGGAAGTTAGGCTGCCAGAGGTGGTCATGCCAAATGAGCCTAGAGGACATTGAGCAGCAGAGATTGGCCACTTGTTAGAAATTAGGCAAAGTGAAGAGAGAAGTTGGATGGAAATGTAAGAAAAAGACAGATTGAATGACATCTTTTTTAAAAAGGAAGAAACTTGAAGGCATTTTTTTAACTTTGTGCCAGGATACTAAACATGAGGATACTAAAGAACCTTTTGGTTTGAAATAAGCTACTGATTTAGATTTAATTTTTTATTTTATTAATAAGGGGTCTATAGAATTTTATAAAGAAATAGCTTCAAACGTTTTATTTGCTTAGAATCTGGTGTATTTTGTCAGAATAGCAGCTTCTGCCCTAATGAGTTATATATTATTGCTGTTCCATCATAAGAAGTTAAATGACTGACTAGAAAATGGAAAAGGACTTTGATGTGTCATCCATAACACTTCCTCTTATTTTTTCAGATCGCTTGATAGGCTTGCCTGAGGGACGTGCCCGCAATCATAATCGGCCACAGCAAATCCCTGTCCTGGCTGGAATAGTGATTGAAGATGTGGCAGTTGGAGCTGAACACACACTTGCTTTGGCATCAACTGGAGATGTATATGCCTGGGGGAGTAATTCAGAAGGGCAGGTAAATATCTTGCTTGCTGCTATCTCTATTCTAGAAATCTGACAACATTCTTCATTTGGGAAAGGGATATGATAAGAAATTCAGAGTAATTACTACAATGCTCCAGGCACATCCCTTGGTCATGGGACTGATCATTTTGTGTCTAGTTATGCATCTCTCTCTCTCTCTTGATTGCAGCAAATGAAGTATTATACCATTGTTTTAAAAACAACAACAGGTTAGGTGTGGTGGCCAGCTTCAGCAATTTAGTGAGACCCTTTCTCAAAATAAAAAATATAAATGACTGGGAATTTAACTCAGTGGTAAAGAGCCCCTGGGTTCAATTTCTAGTGTAAACAGACAGATAGACAGACAAACACATGTGTTAACAGCAGCCAGGTCTATAATTCCAGTAAATCAGGAGACTGAAGCAGGAGGATCACAAGTTTGAGGACAGCTTGAGCAGCTTAGGGAGACCCCATCTCATAAATACAAAAGGACTGGGGGTGTAACTTAGTGGTAGGGTATCTCTGGTTTCCATCTTCAGTACTGCAGAAAACAACAACAAATATCTGGCAGGATAGCAGAGTTAGTGGAGTGATTAATGGTATTAATTGAGCGCACACATGTTTGTGTGTCTGCACACACTGATAAGTGCCTGGCACATAATATGTAGCACTGTATAAATATTTGCTATCATCATCATTGCTACAATAATACATGAGATTAGGTCCAGGTCCTGGGAACATGAGTTGATCCCAAAAAAGGAAAGAATGAAACAATAATAATTTTATGTTTTATAATGTGACAGTATATAAAGTATGGGAGGATGTCTTATCATCCTCATTATTCACGAGTGTAAACTGAATCTCTGAGAGATTGAGAAAAGACTCAATGTGTTCAGTTCCACTTCCTTCTATAGGTGGAGCACATTGGCTTTCAGCCCCACGTGCAGGACCACCTCTTCTCTCTCCATAGATCCTCTCTGGATTTCATTCCCCTTAGAACCAAGAACCTAAAGTTCAAGGTCTAGTATTGTTCATAGTAGCCTCCATTTGGCCCTTCTGGTCTCCTCATCTCTGCATTAGCAGGTGAGAAAGCTGCTCATCATTTATTACAAGTTCTCTTAATGAGGAGAGAGATAATGTTGAAGACACCTTTGGGAATTCCCTGGCCAGGCCTCTATGTGATCCTCCATACTCTTATTGAGTGGCTTAGCTACTATAACACTGGTGCTCTCGTTAGGTCCTAAGAACAGATATCTAGAGATCCATGTATTTTGTATATGTTTATTGTTAAACAGACATTTTATTCTCATAAATTGAGAGTTTTAAGTAAAAGCTATACAGATCATTCCACTACACATTCCCTTTCCAGAAATGGAATCCATGAATGTATTCAGTCCTTATGACTAATCTACAAGGTTTGGAATGGCCTACTTGCAGCTTAGTTTTTAGGAAACATCTTGTGCTATGAGAAATGTTATGATAGAGAAAAATCAGAATTTATTTTATTAATATTGGTGCTTGGTGTGATATTAGCAAATTTCATCATTTAGCAAATTTCATCATCTTAATTTCTTAATCTTCCTCTTTCTAATTGAATCTCTGTATATTTATTATTTACTCTCAGCTTGGCCTCGGCCATACCAACCATGTTCGAGAACCAACTCTGGTAACAGTTCTGCAAGGGAAAAACATTCGGCAGATCTCAGCTGGCCGTTGCCACAGTGCAGCTTGGACAGCACCACCTGTCCCACCAAGAGCACCAGGTGAGGGACATAATGGCCATGCTTCTGCAGCTGCTCTTTCAGCAATACCCCCATTGCAGTGTTTATTTGCCAGTCCCAGGCTAAATCCGGCATCTGTCTGCCACCATTAAGCAAGCCTTCTCCCTTACAACTAGAGCATTTTTTTGTGCTACCAGAACCATAAATACTTCACAGCTGGCCTTTCTCCTGCTGATTTCAGTATGAAGCTGTTCTTTTCTATAGCTCCAAAAGAAAACATCACTTAGGCAAACAAAAATTTCTGATTTTAGAGAGGCAACTGGGAAATTTTTTTTACATATAAAAACGTGACAAATAGCTTCCTAAGGCTCTCCTTTAGAAATAAAGATTAAAAACCCAGTTAACCATTTGAAACATGATGGCCCAGCAAATCCAGTTGCTGCCATTTTACTCCGTTGTGTAGCAGGACTGGTGGGCATGTTTTAAGTTTTTATTTTGTTGTTTGTTTTATTTTATTATAAAATCCTTACAGATCTACAAAAAGTCTTTAAAATATAATGTGTATTTGTGTGCTTAACAACCAACTATGGGGGCTGAGGTTGTAGTTCAGTAGTAGAGTGCTTGCAGCATGTGTGAGGCACTGAGTTTGATTCTCAGCACTTCATGTAAATAAATAAATAAAAATAAAGGTCCATTGACAATAAAAAAAAAAAAAAACAGCCAACTGTGGGCACTTTCTGGTTAGATCCATTCTTTCATCCCACATAAATGAGTCATTACCTTAATTATACTTTATCTTTCTTACACATGTCTTCATATTTGGGTTGTTTCTTATTCAGGCCCCCAAGCTTTTTGTTTCTACTATCCTTTGGTGTCTATGGCACTAGAATTTCATAAGCAACTTTGTGCCTAAGAGCATAAAACTCTCTTCTCTTTTTGCTAATCTCTCTACCTCTTGGCCACAGGTCCTTGGGGAAGACTTCTCATAGAGATTGTTCTCTCTTAAATACCCTAAGATCAAGGTGGGGCTGACTGCAAAGTAGATTATAAACAAGTAGGAGATGGTTTCTAGTTAACAGAATCCAGAGTGATCAGTGCTGCCTTGCACTGACCAGTCCTCAGAAACTTTCAGCTTCCAGAAGGATTTACTTCCCTTTCAGGTCAGAGACTACAGTATAGCAGTTAATTTAGGTTTAGACTCAGGGGCCACATTGCAAGGTCTAAGTCCTGGCTCCAGCACACATGATCTGAGTAACCTTGAGCCTATTTCTTATCTGTAATATAGTGCCTATTGCAAAGAGCTATTGGAGTAAATGAACCAATTCATGTAAAGATGAGAGAATAGTGCCAGGTACATAGAAAGTATTCAAGAAATGTTAGCCTTTATTAAGAGGAGATTCCTCTGGGAATCAGGCTGTACAAATCTTAATGTACAGGAAACTCTGTAAGTTGAGTATCTTGTTTTTAGTCCTTTATGTGCATTCATAAGGGGGTAGGTGAGGATGCAGTCCTATAATTTCCTTTGTGTAATGAAAAACCTTCATGAATCATGTAGCCTTTTATTCTGTCAAGGGCATTTTCTCTGAGATCCCTAGGGAGTGTGAGAGGTGGAGATGGCTATGCCACCTTGCCCATTTCCATTTTCCAGTACTGCCTACCTGGTCTTCATCTGCACCCTTCATTATTATGAAGATGACAATTATTGAACAAGAAAGGAAGAATTTGACTTCCTCCTGCCCTCCTTCTTTCCTGCCTTTAGAACTAAGTTCCATTATTCATTTGGAACCTAAATTTCAGAAGATCAGGTTTCCATAATAATAAGATTTTTAAAGTTTTAAAAACCAACATAAGTGGATCAAAAAAATTAAGGTGAATTAATGAATAGAGGAATAGATACATAGATGAAAAAGCAAATATAGCAAAATACTAATTATAGAATTTAGGTAGTGAAAATGGTTATCCATTGCATAATTATCTCAAGTTCTCTGTGCATTTGAAAATTTTCAAAATACTGAAAATAAAAGCAATGCATTTTCCTTTATGTGCTTGTTTGCTCTCCTGGCAGGTGTGTCAGTACCTCTGCAGCTGGGCCTTCCTGATGCAGTGCCCCCGCAATATGGGGCCCTGAGAGAGGTGAGCATCCACACTGTGCGCGCCAGGCTCCGGCTGCTTTACCACTTCTCGGACCTCATGTACTCATCCTGGAGGCTACTGAATCTCAGCCCTAACAACCAGGTAACATGCTAGATGGGAAAGCAATGCCCATGATGGGCTTGGCAGAACCTTTCTTTTGGCCTTTGGAAATTATGACATGGCTAATACTTCCTTTACTCTTTAATCCAAAAGAAGCAGAAAAGACAACAATTCTAATCCCATTTTGTGGCTGGTTTATTAGGGATAGTCCAGATATTGGTGGTTGTGCTGCTAGACACAAAGTGGCTTTCCCTCTGTGATTGGTTTGTCCACAACTTGAGGAAGTATGAATGATTAAGCATGTCATATATTTTCTACAAAGTCAAGTGGATAACTTAAGTGCACAAAGCTATTGGGCCATGGTCAAAGTTGTATAAAATGAAATCTGAGAAGTTTAGCAGACTTCTTTCTTTCCTTATGAATGAGCATTCTGGGTCCTGTGGAGGGAAAGTGGGAAATAGAGTAAATTTGGCTGATTTGTCTGTTCACTAATTTAGAAAGAAAGGAAAGAAAGCTGACTTTATTTAATATATAGGCATGTCTGCCAAAATGTGTATCAGTTTGTAAAACTATTAGTCAGAAACCTTTGGGTGACCTATGTTAGAGCACAAATGAGAGGTTTGACAGATCACTGTTAAAAGTAATCAGCAGAATACTGTATAGCACTAAACAGACTGTTTGTATATAGGTTGCATATAGGTAGAGAAATGTTAAGTGAGAAAAGCAACTGAAAATTATATGTAAACACGTATGGAACTGGGAAGAAATAGTGGCAGTGGGGTTATTTGGAAGGATTATGTATGATTTACACATTTATTTGTGTGCTATTCTGTAGTTTCTAAGTTTTTTTAAAAATGCTAATCATAATATTTTATCAGAAAAAATGTTTGAAAAGGCACTTACAGTTACTAATACCCAGGTTTATGTTTTTAAACTGCATTTCAAAAAGAATTTATGTTCTAAAAGTGAAAAATAAGACATCATTTCTGATTACCTTATTTTTTGTTACAGAATAGCACATCTCATTATAATGCTGGAACTTGGGGCATTGTACAGGGACAGCTGCGGCCTTTGTTAGCTCCAAGAGTCTACACTCTTCCAATGGTGCGCTCCATAGGAAAAACCATGGTTCAAGGCAAAAACTATGGACCGCAAATTACTGTGAAGAGAATATCAACCAGGTTGGCATATGTGTGTGTAATTCACTAACTGGCTGGAATTTTTTTAGATAAATGTTACTACTAACTCATCTCTGTGAGGCTTAGTTTCCTCACTTATAAAGGATAGTAGTAATATGTTAGTTCCTGAGGGGGGTCACAATGGACACAGCACAGTTTGGGGCTGCTGTCAAGCATACATGTTCATAGACTGATGGGCAGATACCATCAGGGATCTTTGTGATGATCTGGGGAAGTTGGGGAGTCATATTTCATTCCCTTCTGCCTTTTTTTTTAAAAAGAGGACGGAAATGTAAGCCCATCTTCGTTCAGATAGCAAGACAAGTGGTTAAGCTGAATGCTTCAGACCTCCGTTTGCCCTCCCGAGCATGGAAGGTTAAGCTGGTCGGAGAAGGGGCTGATGATGCTGGAGGAGTGTTTGATGACACCATCACAGAGATGTGCCAGGTGTGTCCACGCAGTGTCCCTGCCGAGTTGCCCACTCCGTTAGTGGTTCTCTTACTGTTTCCAGTGATCACTCTGTCAAGCATGTTTTTATAAATGTAGCAAGAATGCATTTGTGAGCCTCATATAAAGTTATACTGTTAGTGCTGGACAGATATATTAAGCAAGGATTTGGGAAATGCTTCTTGAAGATACCTTACTGCAATAAGTGTTAATGCTTCACCATCTACCAGTGACTCACCATCTGTTATGCTATAATATTGGCAGAGGAAACAACAATGACTCATAAGTACCTTTGTATAACAAACAAATCTGGGACCACCCATGTGCTTTCTGATTTATTCTGGTGCTTTTAGAGCAAAGTAGAATTGCCAGGATCCAGGGGAGTTAGAAAAATAAGTGTTAAGTGTTTAAGCCAGTTCCCATTTTAGGAGCCACACTGGCAGCTTTTCTTCTAGATCAGCTTTGTCTAATATTGGGATTTTTCTGATAAATCCTATGACTAGAATAAAACTTGGCTATCATTTATTGAGTCTATTTGAAATTTTTAGCACACTGTGCTCACAGACGCTAGATGGACTTTCTCATCCTAGTTCTTGAAACTGAAAGAGATTTTCCACATGGAAGATTTTCTAATCTTATTTAAAACGAAAACCAGAAAATTAAGTACAGAGATGGCTGACTATCACATAGCATTATAAATTCCTCAAAATATTCTTTTTTTCAGGATGATCTTGAATATAATTCATGTTCTCTTGATGCATTTGATTATTATTTCTTAACAAAATATTTTTCTTTCCTCTATAGGAACTTGAAACTGGGATAGTTGACCTTCTTATACCATCTCCTAATGCCACCGCAGAAGTGGGTTATAATAGGGATAGGTAAGGCGGTCAGCAAGTATTTATTGAATGTCAAAAATAACAACAATGGCTCACATTTATTGAGCGCTTCCTATGTACATGGCACTGTTCTAAGTGCTTCACATGTATTATCCCATTGAATCATTATAACCCTAAAGACTAGATACTTTTATTATCCCCTCATCAGATAAGGAGACAGACATTTCACCATGACTTGGTATTTAATTATGGGACCAACTCAATGGTAATACAGAGGAGAAAGGTAATTTAGATTTGATTATAAAACCTGACTTATTTTATGTTTCTGAAGGCTTACATGATTTCCCTTTATTGAATTTTTTGCAGTCATCAAAAAGCTTTATTATATTATCAAGTCACAGAGCTTAGTATTTTGCAATTGCCGTCTATTCTTATGAATGCAAAATTTTAAATTTTGAATCCTACTTCATTGACTTGTAAATAATAAATGAAATGATTATAGGAAGTAGGGCATTCTGGAGCAGGTAGGCCAAGGATCACAAGGCTATTTACTTTACCCTTTTATAGTTGTTCTAAATATAACTAAAAATATGGTTCCCATGCTGTCTAAAACAGTAGCCTTTTTTCATGTGTTTCTGTTGAGTACTCAAAAGTGGTTAGACTTGCTAAAAAGAACTGAATCTTAAATTTCATTTATTAATTTGTTATTTCTTTTTATTAGTGCATTAGAATTATACATAATAATGGAATTGATCATTACATATTTGTACCTGCATATAATAATATAATTTGGTCAGTTTCATTCCCCAGGACCTTCCCTTTCCCTTTTCTCCTCCTCTTCTTCTGTTCTCCTGATCTCCCTTCTATTTTTATGATATTTAGTGAATTTAAATAGTCACATGTAGTTAATGACTACTATATTCAACAACATAGATCTAATCTAATGTTGGAACTGCTGTTTGAAATTTCTGTTGGAATTTTAAATTTTTCCTTCTCTTCTTTAGGTTCCTATTTAACCCTTCTGCTTGTCTGGATGAACACTTAATGCAGTTTAAGTTCTTGGGAATTTTAATGGGAGTTGCTATTCGTACAAAGAAACCTCTGGACCTCCACTTGGCCCCTCTGGTGTGGAAGCAGCTGTGCTGTGTCCCGCTCACCCTGGAGGACCTGGAGGAGGTGGATCTGCTCTACGTGCAGACCCTCAACAGCATTCTTCACATTGAAGACAGTGGCATTACTGAGGAAAGTTTCCATGAGGTGAATACTGGCCTGTCATGTTTCTGCTGGTGTTAACTTACTATATACACAGACAAGTGTTTTCTGTGTAGAACCAGGTGTAGTCCTCCTCTTGATGTCAGGCTGGCCCCATGGCTGCTCTTAGCAGCTCAACCCCAGCAGTCTCAATAGCTGCTAAGAGTAGAGTTGGCTCCAGCCCCCAGCTTCTGCTCCTTCAACTTTAGTGTATTTTTTGTCTATGAGAGTAGAGAACCAAGGGGACCAAGGTGGAGAGAGAGGCCTGGTTGATCAGGTCCAACATACCTGGTTTGGGGCAGAGAGATTTGACTTTATTTTAACTATAGCCAGATGAGTCATCACATTCTTGCTGATTAAGTAGCCTGATCAGTCAGACCTATCTTGTTTGCTTTGTTTTTATCCTTAAAAATCTTGACTCTTACTGTTGTACAATATATATCTGTGATGTACTTTTTTTTTTTTTTTTTTTGGTACTGGGGATTGAACTAAGAGGCATTTGACCACTGAGCCACATCCCCAGCCCTATTTTTATATTTTATTTAGAGACAGGGTCTCACTGAGTTGCTTAGCACCTCACTTTTGCTGATGCTGGCTTTGAACTTGCAATCCTACTGCCTCAGCTTCCTGAGCTGCTGGTATTATGGGCATGTGCCACCATGCCTGGCACTTGTGACATATTTTTTGTTGACATATTTGCCAAGTATTAAAATTATTTTTATTTTTCTCTTTTTAGATGATTCCTCTTGATTCTTTTGTTGGCCAGAGTGCTGATGGCAAAATGGTTCCTATAATCCCTGGTGGAAATAGTATCCCACTCACATTTTCCAATAGGAAGGAGTATGTGGAGAGGGCCATTGAATATAGACTTCATGAGATGGACCGGCAGGTGAGCTGAAATCTTGCAGGAGGATCATATGAATGCTTGGGTTTATCTTTGAATGAGAGCTGATGGGTTACTACCATATTAGGGCATATGTATTTACTACTTTGATGTATTTGTACCTGTGTTTCAGACCATATTCAGAGAATTCTCAGGCCCAATCTGTGGGTCTCCTATCTCCTTACTTAAGGCCTTCAATCAGCTCTGAATTGGTCATTGGTTGGAGTGAGGCCAGGCTTTTAAAACCCTGTCATTCAAACCTTGTCTTTTTACTCTTCCTCAGTTTAGTGTATCTACATATCCACTGTGCCCCCAATTCTGGCTGGGTCAGTCAACCCCTAAACACTAGTCTTACAATCCCATAGCATGCGTCTTTCCCTCTTCTCTGCAATCCTTTAAGCCCCAGCTAGGAATTTATTTCCTCCAAGATTTGCTTTCCTCTGGGTCCCTAATCTGTAAGACTTTTTTCTATACTTTGAAATCTCTTAAGATATACCACATACTTCTACGTGATGGTCTAAGAACTAAACCATAGAGTTTGGGTCTTATTTCTCTATTTTTTTATTTAAGATTTTGAATGAAGAATGTGTTTTCTATTTCATTTATCTTTTTTCTGTTCCTATACATAAGTAAGCATTTAATAAATGATGGGAGTATGAAAGAGTAACCATAGAAATGAATACTGTGCCCAAGAATGGTTTTTTTTGGTAACATAATCATTAATAACCATTTCAGTAATACTTATTTTCATAATATATTGGGGTCTTCATGAGAACTGGACCCAAGCTCTGTGTCCATCAAGGTTTAGTAATTTGAAGTATACATATTCCATACCCTTTAACCTGGCTGCTGCTTTGACTTTGGCTTTGGGCCAAGTCCAGTCAGAAAAGTATTTCTCTTAGCTTACTGAAGGTGGATTCTGTCAGTGATGCTGTTTACATAGCTAGGACTTAGGTTTTATCTTTGGTTTGTGAATGTTTTTCATCTTCAGAGAATAACTCACTAAAAATATATTGATTACCTCCACACCAGGCATGGTGCCAGACACCCTTTTTTTGTGTGTGTAGTTTTACCCATGGTTACTCTGTGAACTAAGAATTACTATTGCTGTTTCACAAAAGAAAGGACAAATCAGAAAAGAGGTGGTGTGCCCACAGCAGAGCTGGGATCCCGAGCCAGGCTTCACTCTAGTTGTCTAAGTTCTTCCACTAACCCTTCCTCTGAGGGTCAGATTGATGTTCCACTTCCTTTCAGCCATGTTCTGCCATGCCCTGGCCTTTTCCTTCTCTTTTTCTCAGTAATAAGGCCTTTTCCACTTCATCTCTTGAAACTGAATGTCTTCCCATAATTGTCCCCAGTTATCCCCCTGCCACCTCCAGGCAACCAGCCCCATCTCTTAGTATTATTTTTTCCAGTTTTTATTTTGTGTGGTACCAGGCATGACTTCTTGGTTTGACATGCTTTAGCTTAGGATATTTCTTATAGATGGCCACCACTGCCAATCCATGTTCCTCAGTCCTGGGCACAACAATCCCAGTACCATTATAACCCTAGGGCCTTCCCCAACATGTGGTTCCTATTCACATTCTTAGAAGTTTTGTTGTTTATTGGTGGTGATTTTCAGTTGGACAAGAAAGAAGAATATATGAAACAGACCCTGAACTATAAAGAGTTGTGTTTAGGGTACACATTGTACAACCTTAGAGGAGACATTTTTCTAAGCAGACATTTGGGGCAGACCCTGGCAACTTCTTCCTTGGCCTTGCCTAGCCAGACCATGCTCAGCATTGTGCTGAGAGAACCAAAATGGTATGATTACATAAACATTAGTATGAGCCACAAGGCTTCCATGTAGTTTAAACCTTCATTAGAGTCATGTTGGTAACAGTATTGTCTCACTTTTCACATGACAAGATTAAAATGATAGAGTTAGCAAGTAGTAGATCTGGGATTTAGAATTCAAGGTTCCCAACTAAATTCTTTGTCTTTATCAACTTCCTATATTTATTTTATTCTTTGTGCTTTTCTTCTTAACAGTGAGCACAAATAATTCTTATAAGAAGTATATAACTATTTTTTTTCCTTTTGGTAGTGCAAGGGATTGAACCTGGGAACATTCTACCACTGAGCTATATCCATACCCCTTTTCTTTTTTCTTTCTTTCTTGGTACCAGGGGCGCTTAACCACTGAGCCACAACCCAGCCCTCTTTTGTATTTTATTTAGAAACAAGGCCTTGCTGAGGCTGGCTTTGAACTTATGATCCTCCTGCCTCTCCCACCTGAGTTGCTGGGATTACAGGTGTGCCCTGCACCTTCATTTTGCTTTGAGATAGGGTCTCAATAAATTGCCAAGGCTGGCCTTGAGCTTGTGATTCTTCTGCCTCAACCTGCTGAGTTACTGGGAATACAGTCATGTACCACCACACCTAGATAGGATATAAGTATTTTCAAAAGAACAATACAGCTGGGTGAAGTGGGGGACAACTATAATCCCAATGACTCAGGAGGCTAAGGTAAAAGGATGACAAGTTGGAGGCCAGTCTGGACAATGTAGGAAGACCATGTTTCCAAATAAAATGAAAAAAGACTTGGGATATAGCTCAGTGATAGAGTGCTTGCTTAGCATGCATGAGGCCCTGGGTTTGATCCCTAGTAGCACACACAAAAACACACGCACACACACACAAAGGTTTATATATATGTGTGTATTTGTATGATTTATATATTACAAATTAGCGTACAGCTACATGAGTCTTTTAAAAGCTTCTTTTGTTGATGAAATTCAATGCCCACACGTAGCACAGTTTAACACCATACAGCCATGTGTGACCAGGAATATGAGTAAGTGGCCATTGGGAGTATGCTGGGTTTTGTGGGGAGAAGGAAGCAGGTGCCTAAGAAGAAGTATAGAGTCCCAGAGCAGGGCAGGCTCTAACAAGGGTGGTCCTGTTCACAGGTCTCAGGGTCTAGGGAACAGACGAACAGGCAGCAGTGCCCAGCCCAGTTGGGTCACCGTGGGCACATGTCTTCTCATACATACACATGTTAAAATGAACACCCTCTCCCGGGAGCAGGTGGCTGCAGTCCGAGAAGGGATGTCCTGGATTGTCCCTGTGCCACTGCTGTCCCTTCTCACAGCGAAACAGCTGGAGCAGATGGTGTGCGGGATGCCCGAGATCTCTGTTGAGGTCTTGAAGAAGGTGGTGCGGTACCGTGAGGTGGATGAGCAGCACCAGCTGGTGCAGTGGTTCTGGCACACGCTGGAGGAGTTCTCCAACGAGGAGCGGGTGCTCTTCATGCGGTTCGTGTCTGGACGCTCTCGACTTCCAGCCAACACTGCTGACATTTCTCAGAGGTTTCAAATCATGAAGGTTGATAGGGTAAGTGAGCTAGTTTTCTTTCCTTTGTAATGTCTGTCTGCATTTCTTGCTTTTTGCTTGCATGTTGGGAAAACCAACAGGCCTGCTGATTTAGGCTTTAATCTTTGTGATATCTAGATTTTTAAAATATCAAGCAGTAAAACTTGTTCAGTAACATCACTTAGCTTTTGTGGAAAAGTTCTAAATTGATATAGAAAGCATACTGCAAGCAACAACCTTCCTGAATCTTCCAGCATCTTTCCAAGTTAAATCTAAACTTGGCAGAAGGATTATCGTGCTGCCTCTGTGTCTTATTCTCTATGCTTTTTCATTGTGGAACTTGTATGCCTGGTGTGTGTATGCCACAGTAGGGACCCAAAGATACCAGGAACAGCACTAACATGCTCTGCACTTCCTGGTATGGTGTGCATTGTGGGGCAAGTGGTGCTGCTTCTCTGGGGCCTAATGAAATGCCCCACCCACAGAGCCCCAATACAGCTACACTTTTGATGGTGGCTTACTTAGCATAAAAGGTCTTTGAGTCTGAAGTGCATGCTGCTGTCAGAATCATCTTTCTCAAGCATCCATTTGACCACACCACTCTCCTTTCAGACCTATCAGGGGCCTCTGCATTGACTAGAGAATATATGCCAGCAGCCTTAGCTGCCTTAAACATCTCCACAGTCTGGGGTCTTTTCCACACCTTCTAGAGTCACCTCTTTACACTTACTGTGTTCTGGCCATAAATGGGTTGCTTTCCTTTCTCCCCAGAAGACTATGCTGTTTTTAAACTTTTGTGGTTTTGTGTTGACTCCTTAGTAAGTTCTCCTTCACACTGCTTTTCATGTATGCTTGGAAGCACTTATTTGTCCATTAAGTACAATGCCTGTGCTGTCTCCTCCAGGAAGCCTTCCCAGATGTTTTCATGTGCCCCTGCTCCATGTCTGAAGGCAGACCTAGTTAGAGCTCCTTCTCTTGGCCTCCCGAGCATTTGGTACACCCTGTGAGCCCAGCACGTATTTTACTAAACTGGGAGTGGGTGTTCCCTCTGACTCCACCACACTCTTTCCAAGCCCTCCCTATGTAGGAACGGACAGTCTCTGAGCAGGGCACATGGTATTTGATCAGAAGTGTTAAGGTAAGTGGGATCTCTTTACAGAAGGCCCTTCTTCCAGTTTCACCTTTCTGATGTTTTTCCAGCAACCGTTCATGGAAGTTGCTGTAGCCAAACCTGTGCCTCATCTGTTGCTTTTTGAGGCTGTAGGCCTGTACTTTAAACCTGGACTAGGCTCACCGGAGATGCCATATGCAGGAACAGTTATGAAAAGAGCCTTTCCATAAATTTTCTGCTCGACTAGCCAGAAACTATAAGTTGTGAATCTGTCTCCTTGCTTCAGTGTGGTGGAGAGGAGGAAATGGTTCCCTTCTATTCAGCTCTGAAAACAACCCTTGCCTTATGTCTGTCTGTGCTGAGCTGTTCCTGCCACCCCAGGAGTTAATCCACCACTAATCCAAGGCCCATTTGTGGAAAGCAACAATAAGCTCTGGGGGTTGTCAGCCTCAGAAACTGACTGCTTTGGTTATTTCCTTTGTAGCTTTTAGATAATTTTTCCAGTATCACATTTAAGTAATCAGAGCCATCTGGTGGTGCTTCCCTTCCTTGCTGTTTTCAGTTTTTCTGCACTAGAGCTCTCTGTCATCACTGGCTCTGGTACATTTAGGCTCTGCCCCCACCTACCTCCCACTGCTTTGAAATGCAGCCCAACTGGGTATGGGACTGAGAAGAGAGCTGATTTCAAAAGGAGGCGGGGCAAGAAAGAGAGGGCAGATTCTTTTTGTAAAACTTAATTTTTAAAAAATTTATTACAGTGTCACATCATTATCAACCTTAATAGATAGTTTGCAAAATTGTTGTTTGCCAGGAGCGACAGGGAACATACATACTTGTCTCTCCAGTAATAGCCATTTTCACCTTTGTATAATTCTTCCTAGTCTTGGCCTCAGTTATACACATTTTTGAATGAGGTGTCTAGAATTTTTGTATTCTCTGTTTTTTTAAAAAAAAATCTCATAATCTGTTCCAAGCACTCTTCTGGTTTGCTGTTGTCGTATCATTTTAAATGACTGCATCACCATCAGTTAAGTGCATGCACTGGGCTTTAACTGCTCCTCCCTCATCTGGGCTGAGTGCTGGCATTAATGGCCAGTGAAGAATGTAGAATGCACCCTGGGAGCACAGGGAAAGAAGGAGGGGGCACTGGTGGTTCCCACAGCCAGTTACACCACACACTTGCTCCTTTCACTTCACATTTTGTGCTGAGGAATTCCTGCGGCTGGCTTCAGTTCTGCCCCCTCTCGGTGGACAGGAACGAATCTCGCTACACTCTTACTCCATGCCAGTCATTGTGCAAAGTATGTTTTCTCGAACAGTCCTGCCAGAGCTTATTGTTGCTTTCCACAAATGGGCCTTGGAGGAGGTGAGAAGAGGAAGGAAGTGTCTTCACCAAAAGCCTCCAGAGCTACAGGAAGGCAGAGCCTGTGCTTATTCTGCCTTGGCTTAGTCTCTGCCTTTCACTTGAATTGTCCATGCAGTGATGCCTATGTGCCTTTGGGGTGGTGGTAATGGGCAGCCCCCCTCCTCCTCCTGGCGTCCTGCTGCCCACAGTCATGGCTCTGGGTGTATCTCTCCGCAGCCTTACGACAGTCTGCCTACCTCACAGACGTGCTTCTTCCAGCTGAGGCTGCCCCCCTACTCCAACCAGCTGGTCATGGCTGAGCGCCTGCGCTATGCCATTAACAACTGCCGCTCCATCGACATGGACAACTACATGCTCTCAAGAAACGTGGACAACACCGAGGGCTCTGACACTGACTACTGAACGACCGTGGGTGCTGTCACCCCCTCCTTTTTCTCAATAATGCTCACTTCCAATTTGATGTTGATATACTTTTATGGTAACTAAATAGATGTTTTAGGATCATAAACCGACATTATAAACAGTGGCCGCATTTAGTTACTCTAAATTTAACAAAGAAATTAGATGTTTTTATTTTTCTGTGATTATACAAAAACAAAACAAAAAAAACAAAACAAAACAAAAGCAAAGTCCTCTCAGTCAGGTTTTTCCCTCCATATTTTTGGTCACTTTTGATAGGTTTGCATGGAACCATTTTGGTGCATTTTTAGTTGGGAATGATACCTTTTTGTAAACCCACCCAGTGAACATGAAATTGTACATTGTGTATAATTGTTCATTAGAAAGGACAGTTTTACATGAATATTCACATATTTATTTTGTTTTAATTTGAATTGCCTGTGCAGGGTTCCTTATGCAGAGAAATAAAGCAGATTCAGAAATCAGAGCTTGGACTTCTTTTGTTGCTTCTGGTGGAGCTGCAGCCTATGAGTTGCCGGCAAGGTAGACATCAGCCTAGAAGGACTGAGCTTTGGTTTAGGTCACTCTCGCTTTTTGACTAATTCAGAAATATTTCTTCACATTTAGAGGGGGCTTCGCCTGGAAATGACATTGCAGAAGATTGTCATGATAGGAGGCAGGGTTCAGACACCCTCTTTGCATTTGTTCTTCTGTCATCCTGGGTCTCTCTCACTTGTTCCCTCACCCAAGGCACTTGTGTCAGCCACTGGTTCAGCCTCTTGGCACTACCTCTCCTCCTCTGAACAGTCAGCACACCTCGTGTGCAGCTCCACCAGCCAACACCACATGGTGCTGGCCCTGCCTCTGAAGAACTGGAGAAGACAGAATGAGCAAGTGATGGCATTAAAGAACAGGATAGTTTAAAACAACTTGTCACTCTGCCAGGAGAGCAGCCAAGTGGGAGGCAGTAGAAGATCGCTGTCACTAGAAGGCATACTGTGGATGAGTAAATGAATGTGGATTGAATGTGAGGAGGAGTATGCGGTTTTCACATCCTTGGGGAGTTGTTCAGGGGACTAGGGGAGAGCCACACTTCATACTTGGACCCAGCCCGTGTGATCCCTCTGTGATGTGTTTGTGCATTCAGGAATGATAGAATGAGTTTGTGTTCTGGGGTAAGGGCCATCTTGAGAGCAGCTGTGAGGCTCTATGAGGCTCTAGCTGCCAGAACATGAGCAGGAAGAGGCAAGGACTGGGCGACTTGTCTCCTCTACTGATGCAGGTCCGTGCCAGAAGCTGCTTCCAGTGGACTTCATGGCCAGGATCTTTGTCGACAGCGTGTCCCAGTGAGGTGCCAGGCAAAGAGCCTTGTAGGCAGAGGTATTCCACAAGAAAGGTAGAAGGTGTTTATTTTTTTCCAAAGAAAAAGTAGAAGAAACATGTTTTTGCCAACTAAGATAATCTGGTTAATGGCTTAATGGCTTTTGCCCAGTGAGAAGACTTAACATGAGAATGATGAGGTTTTGTTTCACTGGAAAAAAAAAAAAAAGGCTTCAGTTGGAATTGGGTCTCAGAGGGAGACCACAGCATCTGGGGAACCCCAGGGTGTTCTGGTTAGCGACAAGCCCTTAATTTTGTGAGTTGGGTGAGTAGCAGGGTTGAAGGGCTCTGAGCTTGAAGCACTCTCTCTGGGGTGGGGGACATTGCCTAGTCTGCTGGGCCAGAGAGAGTTTCTCTAAGAGAGGCCTCTGCTGCTGAGGTCTTGAACAAAGCCAGGAGGGCTGCTTCCTAATGATAAGTGACTGCCCCTCTTGCTGAGTTGACTGAGGGTATGCAAAGCTAAAGGATATGGCTACAGATTCCAGGATTATTTCAAGTGAAAATAGTGCTTCTACCTTTGTGAAGCTTTGACCTTTGCTGCCACCAGTAGGTGGCCCTGATGAGTCCTGGTTCCTGGGTTAGGCCTAACAGACTGCTTCTGAGGAGGTCTGACCCCTGAGGGGAATCTGTCAGGATGGTTTTATAATATGCTGTTTCTCTGCTGGAAAGCAGTTGTTATTCCTTCCTTCTGTTGACTATTGAGAACTTCAGGTGTGTTGAGGGGGGCGGGGGGAGTCCCTCCTCTGAGGATCCTGATGGCCCTCTGAGGGCCTCATGTAGGTGTTTTTCGTAGTCCATGCCCTGTAGAGACTTGGGTGATTTATTGTTTGCTGACCTCACTGAGTGAACAAATACTTGCAGTTTGCTTATTTTTTGTTGTAGATGGACACAATACCTTTATTTTTTTAATTTATTTTTAATGTGGTGCTGAGGATTGAACCCAGGGCCTCGCATGTGCTAGGCAAGCGCTGTACCGCTGAGCCACAATCCCAGCCCGTTTGTTTTGGTTTTGACCCTTAAGTTTTTAAGAAAAGTTTGACCCCCTGCTTTTAGATTTAAGATTTCCCCAGATACTTCTCAAGGTTTGGCTTTGTAGTGGGCCTCCTAGCTTTGTGTCCTTTGCCAATGACGGCTACATCTGGTGAGCCTAGTTTTTAGCTTTTTTTCCCCGCTTTTTCTAATTTTAGTCTTTTTAAAAATTATTTATTCCAATTAGTTAAACATGACAGTAGAATGCATTTTTAACACCATACATAAATGGAGTATAACTTTGTGTTCTTCTGTTTGTATACGATGTAGAATGACACTGGTTGTGTAATCATATACACACATAGGGTAATAATGTCCGATTACCCCCATGCCCCCTCTCATCCCTTCACTCCCATTTGTCTAATCCAAAGTACTTCTCTGTTCTTCCCTAGCCCCCATCCCTTTATTGTGAATTAATATCTGCAAATCAGAGAAAACATTCAGCCTCTGGTTCTTTGGGATTGGCTTATTTCACTTAGCATGATATGCTTTTGCTAAGAAGCTAAAAGTATGTGTTGGACATGAATCCTAAACCTGGAAGGGAGTTCTCTAATGGTCACATGATCTCTTTTACAGGATGGAAATCCAAGGCCAGGAGAGGGAAAGCACTCAATCAGGTGCAGCAGCCTACCAACAGCATACTGGGTTAGATCCTAGAAGGCTCAGTCAGCTCCCTCCCAACATTCAGCCTGTGCAGAAACAGGCACATACCTTGCACAAAAAACCTCCAAGCATCACCTCCCATTTCCTTGGGACTCTGGAATACCTGACCCAAGTGAATGTGGCCTGATCTTTCTCCTACCCTGAGAGTCCTACGTACATCAGGCAGCATGATGTGGTTGACTGGGCAGCTTCCAACTAGGGAGCAGCATCCTACTCAAGTGCTGACGTGTCATTCTTAGCTTTCCCTGCATGTGACCTTGGTTACCTTGACCAAAACAGAGTGAAAAGATTTGACATTCCAGGAACTAGGGAAAGTCTGTAGTCTTATTAATAAGAGTCTAGGAAGGCACAAGTGGCCTACTTCTAGATGCCTCTTGAATACCATCAGGCTCTCATCTGCCCAGCTTACCTTCCCTGGTGGTGCCTTATGCTTCTTGACTCTGCCTTTGCTGAGCTGAATCTGCTGACACCAATGTTCTCACAGAACCTGAGGGAGCTGGAGGCAGCCTTCAGGCTCAGGGCAAACGTTCTGTTCTCCATTCAGTACAGATGCTGGCCCACCCACATACAGGCCTGTCTTGCTTCTTCCCAGTGCCTGAGCCTTGTGAGTCCTGCCAGCCACTCAACTTTTCTAGCCCTCATGGATGTGAGGACACCTGCTCTTGCCTTGCAGGCACAGTACATCTAGTCTCATAACTGTCACATAGAAGGTGGTGTTGATCCCATTTTATGGATTAAGACGCAGACGCAGGCTCAGAGAAATTATAATTTGAAGAAGCTGTGCACACAAAGCTGGGAGATGTACTCAAGAACACCCCTCACTCCTAGCTGCATAAATGAGTTGGCTGATTATTTAAGCATTCAATGCCTCCTGGGCAAACCTCTGAGAAGACCTTGGAAGTTGTGTTTCAGATTAAGCAGGGCATTCCTCCTGAAGGTGAACAGCTACTGTTGGAAGGCAGAGTGCAGAGTTGTGATTCATCGACTCATCAGTGACCACCTTCTGGGAGCACCTAAAATGGCCCTTGACTCAGGGACCCAAAGCCTCCTGGCCACAGTGGGAGCCAGTTTAGAGCCCTGAAACAATACTGGACACAGGTGTCAGCACAGCTTTGGTTTTATGGTCACTATAGTTTGGGTACGTGGGGGTTAGCCTGGAAAGCGAACAGTCATTTACAGAAGTTTCCATAGGAAAGGGACTTTAGGGGGATGCAGGTTGCCCCATTCAAGCTCAACCTGCTGTGACCTCTGCTTTACAAACACAATCCTGATTCTTATAAAAAAAATCCCACAAACAAGGTTTTCTAGCTACTCCTAATTAACATAAGGAAATTAGGAGGAGAGCTGACCTGTCTTTGGTGTCAGGGTTAGAAAGTGAGGGGGAATGGACTACAGACCTATATCCATTAGGCCTGAAGTCAGAATCCTGTTCCCAGACTAAACTACCAATTTAGGGCCAACAGGACCTGCTGGGAATTGGGGCTTATTAAGATGATAAAAGCAAGCTCTGGAGTTAAAGTGACTGTTTTAGATATTCAACATCCTCTCCTACCCGTCCCCCCAAGCTCAAGCTTTCTTTCAACACTGTTCACATAGTGGAAGGAGAATTAGGGCCCTGCAAGGATCCTTTCAAGTCCAGAGTAATGCAAGATAAACTGGAAAGTCATCTGGAGGGAGCCTGGGTCCCACAGGCTAACAGTGGCCTATCCCCCTCCACTGCAGCTGGCAGCAAGGTGGGTCTGGCTTTTCACACAATATTAGAAGGGATTATGCCAGGAAAGGGCTTGGATGTTTACCTTGTTCTGGTGTAAGCACTGCCCCAGCCAGGGGACCAGGAGGAAGAGCAGAGAAGCCCCTTCAGCAGTTGCCAGGTGGGGCAGGGCAGGAGAGGTAGATGCCTCCTATGTATCTACCTAGAGAAATTTCTGGGACTTACCTTTTTATTGTCTGTGCTTAGGCCCTAGCTCCTGCTGGGATAAACTGACCTTCGGTTTTTATTTCATCCTTACTACAATCTGTCCCTTCATAGCTCCCTCTCTGATCTCTCCTCACTCTGCAACAGCTACACTGACCTTCTTGCTGTTTCCCTAACACACCAGCTATGCTCCTAGTCCGGGACCTTTGCACATGCAGTTCTCTTGGCCTGAAATATTTTCCAGATGGCTGAGTTGGTTTCCTGGCTCACTTCATGTCTCAAGTATCACCTTCTCAATGAGGTTTATGTGGTCAACCCAAATGTAAGTGCCTTCCCCCACCCGTTTCTTGGCCAGCAATCTCCAAATTTCCTGTACAGTTTCTAACTCCTCCAGTACTCACTACTTATGTATAATTATCCAGAAGGTAAGCTCCACCCAAAACAGAATTTGTCTCCTTTATCCTTGCTTTTTTCTCATTTGGTCATCAAATTAAGGAACCTGTTTTAGGGATCGGGATGTCAGAGAGGAGAAACACTTGGCTACAGACTCAGGCAAGGTCTTGGTTACAGCTGGCAGTGGGTGGAGCCAGAGTGTAAGCATTGCTCACCATTGCTGCTCCCCTGCCTCTTCCACTTACCCAGTGTTCCCTGTACCTGGAACTGGTGGCAGAGACCCCTTAGTAAAGCCCTGAAATTACAACTGGAAGTCCAGGCATGTGCCCACGTGCAGCAAATCCAACAGATAAAAAACCTCATTTTTCACCACTTAACAATGGTTCCACTATTATACTTTTTTTTTTTTTCCTCTTGGTGGTGCTGGGAAATTGAACCTAGGGACTCGGGCATGCTAGACAAGCACTCAACCAACTGAGCTATATCATCAGGCCTTCTACTATCATCTTAGGGGTACTGCTGCTGTTTTTAAATCGTTAACTTTTTTCCTCCCATTGACATACTTTTCCCTTGTGCGAATGGTAGAGTACCCTTGTGCGAATAGTAAGAGTATCCGTTAACTCTCAGTTTACATATGAAAGAATGGGAACAGATTATCTGGAAAAGCTTCTGCAGTCCTCTTAGGACCACATGTACCCCCAAGAAAGGCAAGCAGGCCAGGGTGGCGTGGGCCAAGCCGCGAACCAGCCCTTCGGCGCTGCAGGACTCTCTGCAGAAGCCCTCGGCGGCCGGGCCGCAGCGGGGTCGCTCCGCCTGATTCCCCAGGAACGGGCGCGACGGCCGGAGCCCCTGCCTGTAGGGGGCGCAGCCCGCGAGCTGCGGTCCTGCCCGCCGCCGTTAAGGAGACCCGCCACACGGTCCGAGTCTCGGAAGATAACGCAGGCGCCTCCCACCACTGCAGAAAAGGGGAAAATGGTGCTGGTATTGAGAACCACAAAGTGTTTTCCAGCCATGCAGTCGTTTAATCTCGCCTTCATCCCCTTTATAAAATCATGATGTGAGGTAGATGGGCATTATCCCCAATGTGCAGACGGGAAGAATGACGCCGAGAAGGCGCGACGGCGGACTCCAAGGCAGGACGATCTGACGCCAAGGTACTCTCTCCCAGAGTCACGGCCGGCCTAGCTAGGCAGCAGCTTGCGGAGAGCCGTGCCCGACGCTGGCGGGCGCGGGACTTGGTCGGGGATCATGGCGGCGCTGTGTTCGGCGCGCAGGACCAGACGCGGGCAGGCGGCGCGCAGGCGGCGCAGGCCCGCGGCGCTCACGTTGCGGCAGAAGTCCACGTGCAGCGTTTGCAGCGCGCCCCCGTGCGCCGCCACGGCCGCCAGCGTGCGGTTGGTCACGCGCGCGCAGTTTTCCAGGCGCAGCGCGCGCAGGCGCGGGCAACTGCGCAGCAGGCGGGCCAGGCAGTCGTCGGTGACGTGGCCGCAGCCCGACAGCGTGACGGACGCCAGGTTGGGGCACCTGCGGGAAGAGCGCTGTGACCCGGGCGGGGCCGAGACGGGCGCCAGCCGGCCGCAGTCCCGCCGCGACTCCTTCATTGTACCTGACCACACGCTACACTGGCAGAGGACTCTGCCTTTTACCGAGTGAGGAAGTCGCCTGCAATGAGCAGCCAGGATTCCAACAGGGCTTTCTGGACAATTTCCCCAGCCTTTTCTGCCGCTGCACCCCCACTATACCTTAATGTTGAGGGTTCTTCGCTCTGAGTTTCAGGAGCCTCAGTAGGGAACCCCGCCCCCAGAGACCCAAGCCTTCTGTGAATCCAGGGCTTGTGGTTCTGGGCATGCGTCTTGGTTTTTCTCTGGTCTCAAAGCTTACCTCAGGCTTCATAAAACCTTTGGCAGGATTTAGGAGGGGTTTCCTTAGGGAATGGTTTAGTGACGTGGAAGCCAAGCCCGAAACGTGTGCCTCAGTGAAGGTTCTAGAGCCCAGTTTCAGCTCAGTTGGCTGGGGGCAGTTATTTCATCATCCAGGTGTGTACAATTAGGGACACCCAGGGAGTTTTTGGCCCAGAAAGCTAGAGATCCCTCTGCTCCAGCCTCACCAGCACCTGCAGGAGAAAAGATCTGGACCAAAGTTAGACTTGGCTTATTTTCAGTGTGTCTTTAACCTTATTACTCCCTGGGCTTTAGTTTCCCTGTGTGTGACATCCCTGTGGGATGTTTACTCATGGGCTTGTGAGGATTAGATTGGCTTTGGGGTGTAAAAAGACTGCATCAGGGCTTCCTATGTCACTTTCCTGGAAACAAACAGGACCAGATTGCTTCCACTACAGGAGCCTGAGCCTGAGTCTGGAGTCTGTAGCCAGAGGGAGTTGAGTCTGGCCTGGTCCTTTTCCCCATCAGCCTCCCACTTTGTTCCTTCACTGCACCCAGATGGCTTATGTCCACACAGTTTTGCTGGAGAAAGAGAAGGAACTAAAATATACTGGGCCCAGCCACATTTCACACACTGAGCCCATACCTTCCTTATATTCTTGTGCTTTCTTTAATTACATAAACAGAGCTGGGGAACTCAAGCCTTTTGGTCTTTCTGTGACACCAGAGCCTGTTGCTAAACCCATCCTATGGCCCAGGAGTTCCACTCTACACCTTGGGTTGGGGAATTCAGCCCCATCCTTTAAAGCAACAACACAAAAATTCGGGCCTAATCCCTCCCACCTCACCCTCCTATAACCCTCATTTCTGAACCTTGTTAAAACTCATCCAAACAACCTGGGCTGGTCTAGTCAGGGCCTCGCTCCAAGTCCATCTTCTGTCATCCTGCAGTTTTCAAAAAAAAGAATTGCAGGGGAGGGGGATTCTTTCCTCCCATTCCTGTTCTACTGCCAGCAAACAGTAGATATTAACCTTGGTGGCAACAAACCAGCCAAGCCTAGTTTTCCATGAAGCCAGCCCAGCTTGTTATGCTCCTGGTGCTTTTTCTCAAAGGTAGGATAATCTGGTGGGCTCTGTAAGCTCCCTGGCTGCTGGTGGGGGATGAGGAAGGCTGGCCTGGTGGCCCAGCCTGTGTTGGGGGTGCAGTTGAAAGCTTCAATACAGGATGTTTGGGGGACATACTTTTAAAATTACTCAATATTGATTTGAAATTAAAATTTAATTGGGTAGTCCATAAAATCTGGCAACCCTAGATTGTGGGTAAATCATACCTCCTCTTGGAGGATTAGTTTGCTCCTTTGTAAAAGAAAGCCAAACTCCTGCCCTAGGGCCACTGTGAACATTAGTAAGTTCCTCAAAGGAGACCATTATTTATTGTTACTTCCAGAGTCTGGTGTGGCTCAGCTAAATCTATCCTTCCTCAGCAGCATTTCTCAGACCATTGGGGCTCCTTTCTAGGGCCAAAATGAAGAGGTGTGCTGATAGCTGAATCTGGCAGCCTGTTCCCAGGGCCTGTCCTTGAAACTCCAGGCCTAGCTGGACCCACCCAGCACTTAATGGCTGCCAGAGAGGACAGCTGCCTAAGAGCAGGGACGGCTTAGCCCCAGTGCCTTTACAACAGAGACAGTTCTTGAGACCCTAAGGCTGAAAGGAGTGTTAGCAGATAGGTCATCTACTGAGAGCTGCACTGAGTTCAGGGACTGGGCATCTGCCTTGGGCCTAGTCTGAGGTGCCCCAAAGCAGGAGGCATCTTGATCTTATAATTTCCACTTCCCTGGTTTTCCCATCCCTCCCCCAGAGTCAGCACCAGCAAAACCAGAGCTGCTCAGGAACAAAGCTGCCTACCTGTCACACACCTGGAGGAGGAAATCACTGACCAGGCTCTCATGCCGGCTACAGATGCTCCTCTGGAAGGTGCTCTTAAGCCAGTCCTCAATGCTGCACACCTGCACCTGGCTGGAGTGCCAGCAGATGGACAGGCTGCGCAGCGCTGGGCCCAGAAGGAAGTTGTCCTTCTTAAGCTCAGTGAGGGAACGGAAGTGCAGCAGAGGCCAAAGAGCAGGGTCCTCAAACACATCATGGAGCTGGGAGCAGGTCCTGGCGAGGCTCTTCCTGCTGTCCTTGTCCAGGAAAGAGAAGAGATGCAGCAGGCACTCCCGGTTAAGCTGGGTTATGTGCATGGTGAACGGCATCCACAGAGTGTACCCAGCCAGGGCTGACCTGCCTCCTGCTGCTCCTCCCCAGCTCAAGGCTGGTGGACATATATGGTTGAGGAATGGTGTTTATTTTTGGCCAACAACTGGTCCTGAAGCTCTTGGCGGTGGGGGTTGGGGGAAGAAAAGCCAGGATCCAGACATACATGCAGTAGTCTGTGGCTCAGCTTATGTTCAGAGGGATTGAAAATCCTAGCAGAAAAGCAGCCTATTGAAGTTAAATAGTTTACTTAAAAGGGATTTCTTTTCCTTTTAGCTGACAATGGTGTTTAGCAGAGTTCTTTTGGTTTTTCCTAAGGCATTTTCATTGGAGGTGGCTGGCCACACCAGCTCTGTCTGGGCTTGCAGTCTACCCACTGGCAGGCAGTGTTTGTATTAACTGGTTTTGTAGGACATCAGTGTAGGTCTTTTGCTCCACCTTTACCACAAAAAGGCCTGCTGGATGTGAGAGCTAAGAATGGTGGTCCTTTCCAAGCTGGGAGGAGAATCCACAGGCCATGCCTCTTTTCTGTTACTTCTGTTCAGTAGACTGGTGGTTTCCAGGTAGGACTGAGCTGCCTTCAAATCCTACTGCCCTCCACTGGACAAGAGGATTTCCTTAACCTCCCAGATGGCTCTAATTTTACCAAATTGTTTCATAAAAGATTTAACTGAAGTAATTTTATCTTTCCAAGGCTTTTACTTTCAGCTTTAGTTCATTTGGCCTTATATTTTTTTACATATGTCCTTCTGTTTCTAGCTTGTACTTTCCAAAGTATCAGGACAAAGGAGGTATCTCTTAATACAACACTGCACAAAACACTTTTATGTACTTTAATAGGTGTTTGCTGTGGAAGGCAGCCATTGCATCTGCTCTGAGTGTCCTTCCCTCTTAAAGAAACCCATGGATCATCCCCTGCCCCCTCTCATGCTCCTGTGGTCAAGTAGCCTAGGGGTAATATCCATTAAGTTCTCCCTTCTTAAAGCACCTGAGGCCTCCAAGTAGACCTACTTCCTAATACCTCTTCATCCCTAGGCCTGTGGCCCTGCCTTTGTTCCTCTGCTGTGATTTCCTAGTTGTGTTGATGGGTTGGTTTGGGGGACACTAGTACTGTGCAGCTCTAGACGTCACCATTCTGCCTTTGCAGTACCCGAGGTAAGGACAGTTTTCCTCAGCTAGTCTAGGGAACTTTTGTTTACTCCCCTCACTGAACTGGAATTGGAAGACTTTTTTCTGGACATGTGGTTGTGACACTGATAAGGTGGCCATGCTATACCTGCTTCTGGAATCGAGGCTGGCATGTGCCAAACAGAGGCAGCTAAGGAAAGGAGAGCACAGCTGTCCTGGTCAGCATCCCTACCCTGAGCAGTCTCAGCTGGTCTCCTGAGCCTGCTACCCCAGCATGAGAAAGGGACTCGAAAGGGGGCTGCTCATATTTCAAGTTCATCATTTGAGTTGTTCAGAATAACAACTGCAGCCCTTTGGGCTGTGTCTGATTATGCTGCTCCACTGCAGGTGGATACCTAGAAAACCTCCACATTCCCTCCCAGAATCCTCTCCAACCATCACTTCACACAGGCTGACCATTGGGAATAGGTGGTCTTTTCAGCTTGTTAAAAAGAAGTGCCGTGTGATCCTGCCACCTGCTGGAGAAGAGCCCCTGATGGTTCATCATGGCTTCCCAGCTGCACTATTGCAGCCCCCATGCAACTGCGGAAGATAGGGAGAATGTGTGGAACTTTGTCCCTTTGCTGCTGCTCCAAGTCAATGGCAAGAGGCAGCCCAGACCAGAAGGTGGGCTTCCCAAAGTGAGCATGCCTCTTGAGGATCTGACACACAAGCAGCTGATGGCTCTGCCCTTTTGGCCTTGTCTCAGCTCTGCTGTTTGGCACAGCAGTGGCACCTGAACAGCACAGGTGCTGAAGGGAGGTGTGCCTTGTGGGGCATGGAAGCCAGACAGTCTGAGCTGCAGGCCATTCTGCCCTCAGTTTTAGAAGACTGACAGGAACAGGCAAATAGGTGAAACAGAAAAGCAACAGGTGTGTAGACAGTTCCTGTGTCTTCTGTTTCCAGGAGGCAATGGACAGAGAAGATGTGTAAGCTCTTGCTTTAAGCATAATTTATTGGCACCACCTCCTTTGCCTGTTTTAGTTTATTTTTTAAGAGAATTTTTTAATATTTATTTTTTAGTTTTTGGTGGACACAACATCTTTGTTTGTATGTGGTGCTGAGGATCGGACCCGGGACGCACGCATGCCAGGCAAGCGCACTACAGCTTGAGCCACATCCCCAACCCTGCTTGTTTTACTTTAAAAGATGATCAATAAGCTTTGCTTAGAGCTGAAAAACTGGTTCTTCAGAAGGTAGCTTCTGGCTCTGAGGGAGGGACAGAAGCCTCATTTCCATAAAGTCAGTAGTCACCAGAAAACTGCAAGGATTTGAGGATTTCACTGAGCCAGGTGATTGGCCTTTGACCCCTGACTATGGCCACTCCCTTGTGGCACCACCTACTCCATCCTGCCCACATACAGCAGCAGGTTCAAAGTACTGGGACTTCTGTAAGAACTACTACCTTTTGATAGTTAAGGCCCAGAACTGGAGTCAGCACATCATTTATTTGGCTCCATTGAAAGGGGTTCAGAAATAACAGTCAGAAGGAAAGAGAACAGACCTTTAATGATACTTTCCATAGAATAGTTGAGGCTGGTGAAGCAGAAAAGGGATGTGATTACAACTTGAATGAACCAGTCACTTGCACAATTAAACAATCCTCTTTGCATAATACACACTAAGTTTTAATGGCAAACAGTCACGTCACAGCACAACCAGCATGTGGAGGCTGTCACGCTCACACCTGAGGAGGTTCTGCACCAGTGATGAGGTGCAGAGACCTGGACCAGAGACAATTCCACACACACACTGCTCCTTCCTGGGCCAGGGGCATCATCCAATGGCCACACCTGGTCACAGGGGACCCACAACCTGACTGCGGGAAAAGGCCTTGCTATGAGCCTTTCCAGGCCCCAAGTGCAGAGGCTCCTTCAGCAACAGAGGGTCCATGAGAGAGTTTAGGGGATGGTGGAAGTCACAATGGGATAAATATGTCTAAAAAGATTTATGTACACTAAAACAGCACTGTCTGTCTGAAGACACCTTTCTCCAATGAAGGAGCGGTTTGGCTTAAGAAATAAATATGTCCCACCCCAGAAACCATGCTGTTGAGTAGGTTCCACAGGTTGAGACACATATTTAACACTTAACCAGGCCCAGCACGCTTGACTGGTTTAATTCTATTATATCTGTCATCACTATACACTGAGTAGAATACAGTGGATAAGCAAAGGTTTCTCCACCATGGAGAGAGATTTGTGTTGCCACAAACTGTTTCTATTCCCACCTGTGTGGGAGGACTTCTGAGAATTTCCTGTTCCATGGAGCCACATGACATGAGGCCCTGCCTCAGCATAAGTTCTGAGCAAGAAGCCACATTCAGGTTAGAGACAACATGGCGCGGAAAAAGCCCTGAAGAGCAAAGAAAGATCCATTAACCACGGTATGATAAGGCTACAACTACAGGATGAAAATACAAATAGGCACATTTACATCATGGGCACTCGGATGGATCCAATCACTTTCCAAGAGTCTTCATGATACCACTCTAAATATTCTGCTTAAAATTGAGCAATAAAAATGCTACAAAAATTCAAAGAGGAGGTGTGTTCTTCACATAAACCAACAGTACTGCCTGGCTGAAGACCACTTTCTCCAACAAAGTAGTCCAGCCTGCCACTAAGTTCCACTTAGTATGAAAAGACATGTCTTCATCAGTATGGATTCTGCCAGTCTTTACTGTTCAGTCATCTCAGTGCCCATGCCAAGACTGGAGTCCTAAGTGTGATGTTAGATGATCTAGCTGTCTACCTTCTGAGCCAAAGAGCCTGACTCACAGCAGAACTAAGCAAGGTCAGAGGAGACTTACTTTTCAGTTATATGTGTTTTAATGTACTGATTGATAGATTAGCATAAATCAGTCCAACTCATTTCTGTAGACCAAATGTTATATTTGCATATAGTTCCACCTAATATAATTTGGTGCTGTAAATTATTTTAAATGCTAATTACCTGCTAGGACTCTGATTCTTAACTGTAAGACCTAAAGTTTTACTCTCTGGAGTGAAAACTTAGGCCAGTGTTGTCCAAGAGAACTCTATCCATTGTGGAATGTCCTAGACCTGCGCAATCTTAGCCAGGTATGGGCGCTGAACACTTGAGATATGACGCTAGTATGAGTGAGGAACTGAATTTTAAATTTAAATAACCACATATGGCCATCATATTAGATAACACAAGTTTAGACATAACTGCCGTTTGCTCTTTGTCGTATTAAAACATTTATCCAGCAAATGTGTTCTGCTCTGAGAGAATGTGGGATTTATCCAGAAGGAAAAGAAGCCACCTCTGCTCCTATAACTATAAACAACTGACCTAGGAGGAAAGCCATCAGACTTTCTTTTACATTCATACACTAGAAAAAGTTTTGACTATTTTTCCTTTAAATTAAAAAAAAAGAAAATAGGATTGCCAAAAAGTCTGCTTGCCTGGCTGAACATGAAATGTATTTTGTCCTTTGTTGAGAAAAGGAAGGAAAGAATGGCAGGGACAAGAAATGAACAAGAAAATGGCATGCAGTTCAATGCCTGCATGCCTGTGCTGGCAATCCTACTCTCCCCAAATAATTTACAAGTAATGCCATCACCCCTCAAAATTAAAGAGCTGTCTTAGAACCCTTGAGCAATCACAAATGCCTTCTTTAAATGAGACTGAGTTCAAATTTCAATTTGAGCTCCATCTAAATAGTGCCTGTACCTATTTTTATGGACAACACTTTTGAAACGAACACTACTGAGTTCAAGAATACAAATTATACTTATTCAAAGTGAGAATATTTTTAACTTGCTCTGCTCTCAGGATAGGCCAAGAAAGTTAAAACCCAAAGTAGCAATGACTCCAACTTCCTTCTGTAAAAGCAGACCCCACAACGACACCTGGAGTGTAGGTGATGGCCACCATCAATTGTGGATCATCTCTTCCTCAGATGGCCAAGAAAGAAGCAAGTCTAAAGTAGACATGCAGTTACTCCCAGTGCTACAACTAAAGGGGGATTTAGATGCTGATTCAAAAAGGCAAAGAGAAGCTATGATTTTTCTCACCAGATAGCACCTGTACCATGCAACAGACTCACAGACGTTTTTAAACATTATGACATATTTGTTCTTATTTGGATTTTTCTGTATTCCTGACCTGTCTCCCCCCATGAAAACACAAAAACTCTATAAACTGAAAAACCCAGAAAATAGAGTAATTTTTTAATCTGCAGTACAGGTATAACTGGACCAAAAAATTTATTTAGTTATTGCTGATAATCAGCAGCCATGAGACACCACCAGCAGCAATTACCTGGTCTACTTAAGGATGCACTCTCAGTTATCTTTTACAGTCAAAAAGAATGATTACTGAGCATTCACTGTGAAATCTTATGGGCCACAAATTCCGCACACACATGATCCTTGATTGGGAGTCAACCTGATCCATCCCAGCTGTAAAAAGGCAGCAGGCAGTTATGTCACTCTTCACACTCAAGAGCGTGCCTTGCTTTCAGCATGTGAGAGTAACAAAAGCACTGATGTAAATGTGCTTGAAGTGAGAACTGAAAACATTAATATAAAAAGGCAAACAGAACTAAGTTCTTGAAACTACATATAAAAATCGAATTATTACAACTAAAGCAGCAAATCAAAATGTCTGCTGAGGTTTTCTGGTAGAACAACAAAAAATTAGTTGGTGCCCATGTTCAATAAGTCACTACTAATGACAAAACTAAACCCAAAACAGGAAATTGAAAAGTGCATAATGAAATTAAATCTTAGATCAAGTATTTATGGAAAATTGGAAATGTTGCCCGGTATAGTTGATGAATAATGATTCAGAGGAGGTATTAAAGTTTATCTGATCCAGCTTTAGCCTGGCGCTCCACATAAAAAAGGATGTAGGCCTTTGCCTTCACAACTGTCTCTTCATCAGTCAGTGTTACAGTACTGTCATTGAAATGGAACCAGCGGCCTTCATGAGTTGCATATGCCGTGTAATGTCCAGAACCAACCCTGTAAAGAAAAGGCACAAGATCAAAGAATATCAAAAGACTGCACAAATCACAAGTACTTGTGCAAACTTATAACCATTTGTTATACATGAAATAGATTTTAATAAGTTCTATAATTAAAGAATAAATCCTAGAAACTTTTGGTTTAAGACGGCTGACTGAGCCCATCGGTTTACTTTCCTCCAAACCCAATGAAAAGATAAGGAATATACTGATACTGGAAAAGAGAAAGGAATACCATCAATTGACCAGAAATTAAGGGTTTTCTAGAACACACAAAGCAGATAGCACTGGATTAATAGGGAAATTAACAGAGTTGTGAAACTTTTAACCTAACAAGTATAAATTAAAGCCTACAGAAACAAGGAATATAATGCTAGATTTCCTGTCAGGATCTTGGAAAAATCTGAGCTTAAGAATGAGTTTGCCTCAAAGGAAACACAATCCCCTGATGCTTTGGTCATCAAGAGCTTTTCCCTGTCAGTATGACCCAACTGTCACACATAGCACCCCAGTGTCAGTCCTCCCCATCAGGAAAGAGGCCTGCTAGAAAAACCCTTACTACAAAAAACAAAAAAGTTACAGACTAATCTTCAATTTGGGTACAGATGAAACCCAAATTGATTACTTGGAAAAAAAATAGGCCGGTGGTCTCTGGAAACAGAAACAGAAGATACAGCCAGGAAAGTGACTATATACTTAATAGGGATTCCAGAAGAGAGAAAAGAGAATGAGAGAGAACATATGAACATATCTATGAGGTGAAGACTAAAAGTGTCCCTACTAGCTACCAAGCAGGAATGCATCTAATATTTTTTAAGTCCAAAGGTAGAGGATCCTACAACTTCTAGAGAAAAAGCTGGGATGCCTATAAAAAAGTGAGAATCAGATTTGTACAAGACTTGTCATTTGCAACTCTGGATGGTGAAGTCAATGGAGTAATGTCTACAAAGCTGTGAGGGAAAAGGATTTTAAACATAGGAATTGATTTGCCCAAATATAGCAGTCCATGTTTAAAGATAAAATAACCATTCTCAAATGGACCAAAACCAAGAAGATATGTGCCCCTAGTATAAGCTTTCAAGGAAAAAATTAAGAATGTAATTCAACAAAGTAAAAAACAAATCTTGAAAGTACATGACATGGGTAAATTACTCTAAATATCATCCCATTTTATCTTCATATGAATTTCAATTGGCAAAGAAAATAAATACCTTTGAGTAAAAATGACTCAGAATATTTTGGACAAAAGAGTAGGTGCTCAATACTGGGCCCAAATGAACCATTTTCCATTTTGCTTTTATATTCCTTCTCTTAGTGCTTCACAACATCCTCTCAGGAATTCTTTCCACATCGAGATGGAAGGAAAGTTCTATTTCACCTACTTTAATGAGTCTGAATTCATTTTTAGGGAGTTCAAAGAGAATTATCAAGACTGGTGCAAAATTGCAGGTGTTCTTGCGCCTGCCACCAGTTGTTCCCACCCACAAGCAGAAGGCTGACATACTCACCCAGAACCATGGTGCACCACTACAGCAGCAAGGTCATACAGGCAGTTCTCTGGGCCACTGTTTTCAGGCTGGGGAACAAGGGAGAAGGCAATTTGAGAACTGGGTTAGGAGCAGTGGCCAATGACATCATCAGTGTCTCCTGCCTCTCTGACCTTGACTCTCTCTGTGTGAAGACTTAAATGTATCATACAGTACCTTTTTACCATGCTAAAAAGGTAATCACCTTACCTCTAGTAAGTAGCATTTCATGTCTAAGCCTCTCAGTGGAAATTCTACGTAAGTATCAACTTTGTTTCTTAAATATGCTGTCCAATGAAATCTTTTCAAATGCAAGCATAGCACCTGGATGACAGAGATAAGAATGAACACTGTGAACCAACACCCAGTTTATCTTCCAATAACTTCCAGCCTAATGTCGCTCAAACAGTATTTTAGGTATCCTATCAGTATTTCTTCGGACCCTTGCTATTGCTTTCTTCCAGCTTTTATTGAAACCCTGGAGACCAATACAGAACAGTTCACACAGTCTAAAATTATAAGAATTTTTTTGATTAGTCAAGCATTTTCCCCTTTGAAATAGCACCATAATTTGAAATTCAACACTTACCTTAGGCAGTTTTTGAATCCAGAACTTTTTTGTGGACTTTTGTTTCTTTTTGCATTTATGGCACATATATAACTCTGTCTCATCAAGTTCTTCTAAATCAGTAAAACTTCGAAGACAATCTAAAACCAAATTGATTTGGGCAGCATTAAAACAAGATGCCTTTTATAAAGACAATGCACACTCTATAGAGTGAAAAAACTGAATTTGAAGCCAAATGACTCAGATTTAAAGCTCAGCTGTATCGGCTCTGTGACCTTAGAAAAGTCAGTCTTCCTCAGGTGCAAACTGGAAACAAAAATAATATCTACTTGAAAAGCTGTGTGAGGAAAAGAAATAACAAGTATAAAGCACCTGGCATCATGCCTGACAGCTGGAGAAATGAAAAATGATGTTGGATTTACTATAATTAATAAAAGAATTAGTCTGAAAAGTCTAATAAAAACTCATTCCTGATGAAATAAAAGTTTCAGTAGCAACTTCTCTCAATTGTGACCTTAGAGAGGTCACAAAGCCTGAAGCTTATAAAAAATAAAGTAAAATTTAGATCAAACATTTTCAAAGTAAACATAGATTGTCACAGAAAGCTAATCTCCAATGAAACTTTTATCCAGACTCTAAAAGTCCCCTACATAAATCATAGCAATTTTTAAAAAAATTTTTAGTTGTACTTGGACACAATACATTTATCTTATTTATTTTTATGTGGTGCTGAGGATCGAACCCAGGAACTGTGCTAGGTGAGTGCTCTACAGCTGAGCCACAACCCCAGCCCTACTTTTTTTTTTCTTTTAATTGTTTAATCTGGGGTTTGGTAAACTGTGGTTCTAAGCCAAATCCAGTCAGCCATCTGGTTTTGCAAATTATTTCTGTTGGTACACGGCTGCACCCATTTGCTTACAAATGGCCTTTTATACTACAATAGCAGAATTCAGCAGCTGGGCAGAGAGACCTTATGTGCTGCAAAGCCTAAAATAGTTATTCTCTGCTTTTTTACAGAAAGTCTGTCAACCCCTGCAACCAGTCATATTCAGAAGTCTGTATAAAATGTATGTTGTTATTCCATAGGAAAAAATATTATTATACCGACAGCTCAGGGCAAGAGATGGATTCTCTCCAGTACTTGAGGATCCAGGGTCTGTGTGAACATCTGCTAGAGTTGTGCAGTGGGCAATGTCACTTTCCTCTCCCAGAAGTAGCCATATTTTCTGGAGTTAATAATTTCTTTGCCTATTCCTTTAGACCACAAATATGCATTTATGTATCATTAAACAATGTACTAGTTTGATAAGATGGTTAAACTGTGGAAGGAAAGACAAGACTGTCTCTGAACTCTGAGTTTCCAGATCACAATCAGCCTCAGCATCCTGACAGAGTGTAAGAAAAAGCCTCTATGGGGAAGTTAGTGGGAGCAGGGTCTAATAGGGCTTAGATGTGGCCTGGTATTAGAGGGGCAAGCACAGGATCAAGGGGATCATGCATTCTTGAATATGCCTTTGCCTCATGATTCCTAGTGCCTGGAAGATACATCCTACCTTTGCCTCCCCTCAATTCTTATTTCTTTCTAAACCTCCCCTTCTTTCCTCAGTTTGCCCTCATATTCCATGAATATTGTTTCATCAAAAAGGGTTCCTAGGAAAGGTACATTGTTTCAACATTACACTTCTTAAAGCAAGTCTCAAGACACCAACCCAAACTTGAATATATAGTGGTACCATTCTCAGAGGCGTCCCAAGTTCCATGTCTCTAGCTGTAAAGATAACCGACTATCATGAAGACTGGTTGGTTCTATGAATCCTTTAGACTGGCCACTATGGTGCCTGTAAGTTGTGAAGCTGAAATCATGGGAGGTTTTATCAGCAAATATTTGTTGCATCATGTAAAAAGCTGTGTGGCCTTGGCAGGGATAGGAGATGCTCAAAGAAAAATATTATCAAAAGAATAAAAAGACAGGATACAATGTCAACTCACAAAAATCAGTGGCATTTTTGTATTTTAACAATGAACAAGCCAAAAAAGAAATTAAAACAATTCCATTTACAACAGCATTAAGAAGAATAATTTTTTTTTAATTTTGGGGGGGTTCCAGGGATTGAATTTAGGGGTATTTGACTACTAAGTCAAATCCCTGGCCCTATTTTGTATTCTTATTTAGAGACAGAGTCTCACTGAGGTTGCTTACCACCTCCTTTTTACTGAGGCTGGCTTTGAACTACAATCCTCCTGCCTCAGCCTCCCAAACCACTGGGATTATAGACATGAACCACCAAGCCCAGCCAAGAAGAATAAAATTCTTAGGAACATGTTTAACCCAAGGCAATAAAAGACTTGTATCTGAAAACTATAAAACATCATTAAGAGAAATTTAAAAACATAAATAAATGAAAAGACACTCTGTTCATGAGTTCAATTTCCTATTAATAGGAGGGGGTTACTAAAGAGTTAGTAGATGGCATTGTCAGTCTCCTTTGGTAATTAATTAGAATCTCCAAGAATCTGATAACTCTTTTAAGTGCTGAGATTAAAGAATGTATAATCAGTACTTCCCAGTAACTCATTTGTAATCTTGAGACCAAAATTAAAATGCCTGGAAGTACTAGGCTGCTCTCTTGTTCCTTCTCCCTGCCACCACTGGGGAGCGCCTCAGCAAGTCACATTGGCATAACAAGTGGAGGGCCCCAAATGCTTTACAAAAGCAGGGCTGTAAAGCAGGTCTCCACACCCACACTCACCATCACCTTGTTTCCTTTCTAAAAACAGTACCTCTTGCTATCATCTGTCCTGTCCTCATCTTATCCCAGCAACTTACTTTCCAATATCTTTCCTCCCCGTCTTCTTGAGACACTTAAAATTTACAGAGTGACCACCCAGTAGTCTCTCAGCTGTTTTATGCAAAACATAGTGATGAAGACATGTGTTAAAATGGAATAGAAGATACAGTCAGGCTAAGTAAGTCCTTTGGAGATACATAATGAACAATATAAGCTGAGCCTGATTTTTCCAGCAGTTTAAAAATTGGTGGCCCTGGGGCTGGATTTGAAGCTCAGTGACAGAGCGCCTGCCTTGCACATGTGAGGCTCTGGGTTTGATCCTCTGTACCACATAATAAACAAATAAATAAAAAACAAAATAAACATTTTTTTTAAAAAATTGGTGGCCCTGGCTGTCAACCCATTTTGTCCATCATCCCAGATGTGGAACACATATAAAAGCTGTAGTATAGTATGTAATAAATGTAATAAAATATATAAGTTCTAGATTATGATAAAACAATCTTTTTTAATGCACCGGTGTCAGTTCATTTAAATACTTGAAGTTATGAAAACGCTAGACTTAATAGGTTAATGAAAATGGAGGAATACAAAGCAACAAAGCTTTCTCAAGATGTGAATGGTAGTAGCTAGTGGACTGTCCCTGGCTATGTGTTCTGCTTCCACAGATGGGCATGGAGGTGAGGTTTATATTGATGGTTTTGCAAAAGTAAACTAGTACATTTTAGGGTCACTCAGGCTTTCAAAATAGTATAATAGCAGTGGTCACATATGTAAATGTTAAGGATATGCTGTATCCAGGGAGTCTTCCTCTTAAATAGTGCTCATTTGTATATGTTTTAATGATAATGACTTTCCTTATTATTACAAAGCAACATGTCCATTCTAGAATTTGGAAGAAAATTAAAAAACAATACACAAAGAATATAAGCATCCATTATAAGCCCTACTTCCAGACATCAAGGTTAAGGGATTTTTAAAATCTGTTATTTAAAAGTTGTTTTATAAAGTCAGCAGTTGGAACTTTAGGAATAATTATGGAGTTTTGTTTTTTAACCCACAGAAACCATGACCAATAGGTATTAAGTTTCTAGGAGTGCTGTAGCAGCTTTTTGAAACCCACAATGGAGATGACTGCAGTAGTGACGGTGAATCTCTATTAATCAACTATGCAACATAATGTGACAGCCTCATTACCAAAACTCCCTCGGAGGCTCCCCTCCAGTACACCAGTCTCTGATCTTAGGCTGCTGCTGCTGCTGTCATGATGAGTCCCACCTCTTGGTTACTGCAGTCCCTCTTGGTGGGACTGCAGTAGCAAGTGTGGGGATCCTGAACCTGTTAACCCAGCAGGGAGAAGTGTGGGAACAGGGTTTCTTTATTTTATTTTATTTTTTATTTATTTATTTTTATTATTGGTTGTTCAAAACATTACAAAGCTCGTGACATATCATATTTCATACATTTGATTCAAGTGGGTTATGAACTCCCATTTTTACCCTGTATACAGATTGCAGTATCACATCGGTTACACATTCACGTTTTTACATATTGCCATACTAGTGACTGTTGTATTCTGCTACCTTTCCTATCCTCTACTATCCCCCCTCCCCTCCCCTCCCCTCCCCTCCTCTCCCCTCCCATCTTCTCTCTCTACCCCATCTGCTGTAATTAATTTCTCTCCCTTGTTTTGTTTTAGTAACATACATACTATAGAAATGATCTCTGAAAGTATAGTCTTGGAACAGGATTTCTTGAGGTGGGAAAAACTAAAACCCAACTAATGAACAATGAGGATAAGAATTTCTGGCATTATCACTATTTTCTCCTAAGGAATTCACCCCACCTTTACCCTCAGTTTTATTTTGCTCCAAGACTTGCTAGAGAAGTTAAAATCAGAATTGTTTCATAACCCTAACAACATATCAGGTGGCAGTTGCAACTACATGCAGCAGATGGGAGGCAGTGTTGTACAGTTGTAAAGCTCACAGGTTCCAAAATAGGCCTGTCTGGATTTCCATCCTGGTATAAGCTCTGCCACCTGTTTACTACTGAAACACTTTTTTATTACTGAAAATTGGAAACAATTTAAATGTCCCCCAACAGCTACTAATTTAGTATATTTTACTATGTATTAAGAAAGATAAAGTTGATAATAGCTATGCCATAGAATGTGCCTACAAAATATCATTCACACTATGTATAGAAGTATATTATGTACAGTGATTTCATTTATGTAAACTAAACATTTATATGGGCATTTAAATTAACAGCATGGTAAAAATGTGGATATGTAACAGATGTGATTCTGCAATCTGTATTTGGGGTAAAAATGGGAGTTCATAACCAAC